ATATTTCACTGTAATCATTAAAAAAATTTTTTTGACCCACATAAATATTTCTTTAATAAAAGTCAATCTATTGAGATTGTGGTATAAACACAGAGGAAACATGTTCATATAGGTTGTTGTTTCTGGTCTATATTCTTATATTTTCAACAGCTATTTAATATGTATGGGTCAGTTACTCTTACCTACTCTTTCCTTCTTTCTCCCTAAACAAATCTTTCCAAGTCTAATAGAAGTCATAAGTCTTATATATTATTGTGTATATACAATTTTGCATGTTATTTCCAACTTTGGTTTTAATATACAAAGATATTTTCAGAATCTTTCAGAGCTTTGGTGATTTCAGCTTTGGTGATTACCTTTATGTAAGGTAATCTAGTGGAAGTGCTAAAAACTGGGAGTTAGGAAACTTGCTTTCTAACCCTAGTCTTGCCATTTTTAAACTGCATGATTTGGAGTAAAACTATTTTACTCATTTTTGGTCTCTCCTAGTCAAATTGGTATAGCAGAAAGTGCTTAGAAATAGGATTTAGTGTCAACTACTGACTTGAGGAAGTCCCGTTTTGAATTGCCACTTAACTACCTATATGACCTTGGGCAAGTTCTCTGAATGTTGTTTTATTTCTCTGTAAAAAGAAGGAAACTGATTCCAACTTCTTTGAATTGTAAAGGTTAAATGAAAAGAGGTGTTTTGAAGAAGCTTAATAATAGCACATGTTACAGATATGGCCATAAATGTTCGTCATCTCATCTTGAAAAATTAGACTAGAACTAATTGATCTTTAAGGGGTCTTTTTGCCAATGAAGTTTAATGATTTAATTTCTCATTAAAATGCTCAGAAAATGTGTTACAGCATCAATCTGAAATCATATAGATGAACAGTAAGGTGTTTTTAAGTCTGTAAAATTGACTTAAAACTAGATTTTATTCTGAATGTAAAAGGAAACCATTTCAGAGTTTACCTGGAATGATGAGAAAAGGAGACTCAAGATAAAGCCCTGATTACTCCAGCATTTAGGAGTTTAAGGGATTGAAAACATAGCCAGTGACTTGAGAAGGATGGCAGGAATGTGGCTCATTGGCATTTTCAAGGGAGTAGTTTATCTGTTTCAAATCTTGTTGAGAAGACAAGTAAGACTAGAACAAATGACCTGATAATTAGCTTTGGCAACAGAAGAGCAGAATTTCTATGAAATCAGTAGTTGTTAGGGAATCAAGCTCTGTGACATTGGTTTATGAATGAAATTGCAAGTAGTTTTCCCTTTATTTTAAACCTTTATTCTGTGGGTTAAGAGTTTAGATTTTGAGCCAGAGTAGCTACTCAACTTTTTAGCTTACTCAACTTCTGTAAACCTCCACTCCTCCTATTTTTTTAACTAGGATAACAGTAGTTAACTTTTGTGCTTTTTGGTTTGTATAGTTTTTTTTTTTGTTTTGTTATTTCCTTATTATTTTATTTATAACCAAGAACAATTTATAAAATTTTTCAGAACAAAATTTAGAAAATATTGCAATAAATACTTAGGTAGGTGCTGTATGAATTAAACAAAGTCTAACATTCAGATTTGTTCAAATCTTTCCTAAAGAAATAAACCATCACAGGGCCTCCCCGGTGGCGCAGCGGTTGAGCGCTGGGTTGCGAAGCTGCCCGCAGCCTCTGCGGCGCCGGTTCAATTCCCGGCTGCTCCCCGGCCACCGGAGGAGGGTCCCACATGGTGCGCAGACCTCTCCTGCCGCCCGCTGCTCCCCTCAGCAGTGTACTTCGGTCCTTCTGCCTGCTCTGCTCCCTGCTCTGGCTCTGGTGAATTCTCTCACCCTCCCGCGCTTCTGACTGTACCCAGTGCATGTATAAACGAAACAAACGAACAAATAAATAAATAAATAAAAACATGAAAAAAAAAAAAAAAAAGAAACCATCACAGAAAGAACAAAAGCTAGTTATTTTCCTTTACTTTGTTCCTAAAAGGTGTCACAATCTTTATTTTTTTTTTATTTTATTTTTTTTAATATTAAATTTTATTTTTATATTCCCCCATACAATTGCAAACGCCCCATTCTGACCCCAATCCTTCCCCTCCCGCCTCTCACCCCCCAAAAAGTGTCTCTGGTTCATAGTTTTTTGTTGATTTTGATTTTCACTTTCTTATATTCATTTTCCTGGTCCCTTATTTAAGTTTTCTAGATTCCTGCTATGAGTGAGACCATCCGGTATCTTTCTTTTTCTTTTTGGCTTATTTCGCTGAGCATGATCCCTTCCAGTGCCATCTATGTTGCTGCAAATTGCATGTGTTTATCTTTTTTGAATGCTGAGTAATATTCCATGGTATATATGTACCACATCTTCTTGATCCAGTCATCTATTTTTGGGCATTTGGGTTGTTTCCAAAGCTTAGCTATTGTAAACAGTGCTGCTATAAACATAGGAGTGCAGGTGCTCTTTGGAATTGATGTTTCTGTGTCCTTTGGGTAAATACCTAGGAGTGGAATTGCTGGATCATATGGGAGCTCTATGTTTAGTAGGTCCAGAAATCTCCACACAGCTCTCCATAGTGGTTGGACCAGTTTGCACTCCCACCAACAGTGCAGAAGAGTTCCTTTTTCTCCGCACCCTCGCCAACATTTGTTGTTGCTAGTTTTTTTAATATGTGCCATTCTCACTGGTGTGAGATGGTATCTCATGGTAGTTTTGATTTGCATTTCCCTGATTACAAGTGATGTTGAACATTTTTTCATATGTCTGTTGGCCATTTGCATTTCCTCTTCAGAGAAGTTTCTTTTTAGCTCTTCTGCCCATTTTTTGACTGGATTATTTTCTTTGTTGTTGCTGAGTCTCATCAGCTCTTTGCAGATTTTTGTGATCAGTCCTTTATCATTAGTGTTGGGTGCAAAAATGTTCTCCCAGTTGGTGGGGTTTCTCTTTGTTTTTGTTATTGTCTCTTTTGCTGTGCAGAAGCTCTTTAATTTGATGTAGTCCCAGCTGTTTATCTTTGTCTTCACTATCACTGCTTTGGGTGATGTGTCTGTAAAGATGTCTTTGATGTGCAAATCACGTAGTGTTTCGCCTATATTTCCTTCTATGTATTTTATGGTTTCAGATCTTATGTCTAGTTCTTTAATCCATTTTGAGTTTGTATAGTTTGTAATGATTAAAGGGAATAAAGTGCTTTGTTTTAATCTTAATGATTAGTTAATGGATTTTAAGTTCTCTGTAACCCATACTAATAAAAAGGTGGGAAAATTAAGTCTACTTTGCAGATATTAGCATAGAGTCAGATTCTTTGTAGGCCTTTATATAAATTGCCATGTGCTATAGAAAAGTTCACATGGATGATGCTTTACCAACTTAAATAGCTTCAGTAAATATTTTCTGACTGATACTCAGTTCTCACTTTGAATGCTCTGTCAACCTTTTTGTTCTTTATTTTGGAGCATTCCACAACCCCATGCACGATTAGAGTATGTAACTCTTGAATTGCATAACTAGGTACTATTCCAGATGATCTCACTTTACTAAATAGTAGTAATTTAATTTAAATATACTTGTAGTTACTCATAATTTATTTGCAGAAGCATTTTTGTTAAAAGTATGATCAAAACATTGTAGAAATCAAAATGTGGTATGGGCAATTATTATTGTAAGGACCATTTGAGTACACATGGAGATGACTTTAATTTTAGATCCTAAATATAAAATTAACTTGATAACTATCTCCTGGGTCATTAGTTGTTTGTTTTTTAATTGTCTGTTTATGTAGTAGTATACTTTACCAAAAAAAAAAACAAAATTGACATTATTCAGAATGTAGTTATTATAACCAGTATTTCACTGCTTCCCCAGCATTTCAAATAGTGGCACAGAGTCGTACTTACTGTGTTTTTTTGAATGAATGGATAAATTTTTTAGCACACTAACGAAGCTGTTCTTTATCAATAATGAGTTTCATCTTTGTAAATAATCTCACTTTAGCATAATCAAGCCTTTAATAACTTGTAATACTTTGTTACCTTACTGCTGTTTATTGATTCTCATTTTTTAAAACTATTTAGAGGACAAGTGGAAAATACAGTTTAAGCTATGTGCTAGAAGTTTCAGGTTGAGTTTCATGTGTAAAGAAAATTTGTTAGATATAGGTATTTAATTTTTTTGTGATTTGTCTTTTATCCTCCACCAAAATAGAGGGTAGACTGAAATTTGACTATGCCTGGATTTAAGTTAACTATAATTAGTCTATCCTTAAATTGGAGATTTAAAAAATCTTTCAAAGTAGCAATTTTGACTGTTCTAACAAAGCATACCACAGCAATAGTATAGGCCATACCTGGGACTTAAAAGTATCTCCCAGTAAATAAAACACTTAAGAATATCTAAAACTCTTAAAAATAAACCTTTTTAAAAAGACCCACAGGGCTTCCCTGGTGGCCCAGGGGTTAGTCTCAACACTATCAAGCTATCGCCAGCCCCTGTGGCCTGAGTTTGATCCCCAGCCAGGGAGCTATCCCATATGGCACAGCAGACCTCTCCTGTCTTGCCTGCTTGCTCCCTTAGCAATGTATTTCAGTAGATTCACTTATTCTGCACCCCACTCTGTCTCTGGCAAATCCTCTCAACCCCCGCATCTCTGGTCTACATCCCAATTCTTGAATGCATAAATAAAAATAAATCTTGAAAAAAAAAATGAGAGACCCATAGTCTCCGTTTTCTCATTAACCACACTGAATTTGATAATAAAGTATTTTAAGGTAGTTTTATGCTAATCCACTTTTAAATCTTTACTCTGAGGTATGACATACAGGAGAATTTACATACCGTACATAAAGAACTTGATGTATTTTCACAGTTGAGCAGATCCATGTAACTAGTATAGAGAGAAGAAAGATTTTTATTAGCCCCCTTAATAACTTTTTAAATAGAAAATAGTCACAGACTTAAATAAACCTTAGAGACTTATGTCTTGACTCCAAGGGATGCACTCATTTTTTTTTTTTTCTTTTTCTTTTTCAGGTTATATTTCACACTATGTGCTGACTGTATCTACAGAACATATTTAAAAAAAAAAAAAACTTTTTCAAAGATTTTGATTCCAGTGGAATCTTTGCTTTAGATTTGTGTGTGTGTGTGTGTGTGTTAGTGAATTGTAACTCCAGAAGCAATGCCTGTACAAGCTCCACAATGGACGGATTTCCTCTCCTGCCCAATTTGCACTCAGACTTTCGACGAAACAATTCGAAAGCCCATCAGTTTGGGTTGTGGCCATACTGTCTGCAAAATGTGCCTGAATAAACTCCACCGCAAGGCTTGCCCATTTGACCAGACCACTATCAATACAGACATAGAGCTCCTCCCTGTGAACTCAGCATTGCTGCAGCTGGTGGGTGCTCAGGTAAGATGGGTGACTTGTTATACTTTTTAATTTTTCTTTGTGTATTATCCTTCTGAAATAAACCCTTTGAATTAAAAGTGAGTAACATTGCCTTCTTTTAAATAATAAAGTTTAGTGTTGTGCCAGTCCTTTAATTTAGTATTTAAAAACTTTATTGTGGTAATGCTGTGTTTCTCAGTTACAGTACATTAATATAATTTAATGAGCAGTCAGACTTTCTCAACAACCTTAGTTGTTGAGATCACTAGAGAATCTCAGAGGTAAGTCATAACCTTTTAATGACTGCATGATATTAAGAGCCTCTTAATATCAAAAATCATAAAACCATTGCATTTTACTCAAGAAAAAAACTACTTCAGGTGATTTTACTTCGTAAACACTAACCAAAATAAATGATGAAGAAGATGACAAAAATTATAGACACCACTTTGGAGAACTGTTTATTTAGAGCTGGAGCAAATACTTGCAGGTACCTAAATATAAAAGTTAATCTGTTAATTATAAAGGTAATATTTTGAAAGCTTTATCCCAGTGTTCTCAATTAGAGTCAGTACTGTCTTCAGAAGACTTCACAAAGCTAAGGGAGGCACCTAAATATTCTCACAAAATTAATTTGTTTAGTGTGAGTCTAAAGGACCATAGTTTTATCAGAAATACTTTTCTGAAAAAATATAGTGGAACTTTGGAATCTGACCCTACTACTACTTTTCATATCTTAAACTAAAACAACAAATGTTTATAAACGTTGAGGACAGGACATTTTAATAATGCATAATAGCCACTATTTTTTTTGAAGATTTATTTATTCATACAAGAGCCGGGGAACAGGCCAAAGATGTGGTGGGGGGCGGGGATGAGAGGATTCACCAGAGACCGAGTGGGGAGCAGAACAGGAAGACTGACCGAAATATGCTGCTGAGGGGAGCAGCAGGCGAGTCAGGAGAGGTCTACTGTGCCATGTGGGTTGCTCCCCGGCTGGGGATCTAACTCATGCTGCAGAGGCTACAGATTGCCTCACAGTGCGGCTCTCAACCCCTTGCGCCACCAGGGAGGCCCAATAGCCTGTAAAGATTTTAACTGTAAAGATTTCCATTAAAAAAACTGGTTGTACTAATAAATAATTAAGCAAAGTTGCAGGATGCAATATTAGCATGTAAAAACCAGTTACATTTCTGTATACTAACAATGCAAAAGAAAATTAAGAAAACAGTTACACTTATAGTAGCATCAACAAGAATAAAATACTTAGGAATAAATTTAGTGATGGAATTGAAAGACTTGTGCACTAAAAACTACAAAACATTGCTGAAAGAAGTTAAAGGAGTAAATAAATGGAATGATATCACCTGTTTATGCATTGGCAGACTTAATATATAGATGCCAATACCGCCCAAAGAAATCTATGGATTTAGTGTAAGCTCTGTCAAAATCTCAGTGGTGCTCGCCCCCACCCAGAAACAGAGAAAAAAAACAAACATCCTGAAATTCAAATGGAATTATAAAAGACCCCAAATAGCCAAAACAATCTTGAAAAAGAACAAAGTGGGAGATTCATACTTCTTGATTTTGAAATCTCAAACCTACAGTAATCTAGACAGTGCAGGGCTAGCATAAAAACATTTAAATCAATGGGATAGAATAGAGTCCAGAAATAAAGAGATATATATATATATATATATATAGCTAAATATGCTTTGACATGTCACATACATGTGCATGACACATGTGTATGACATATGCATATATGTATCCATATGTATGTGTGTGTCAGATGTGCATATATTTGACATATGTGCTTTGATATATACACATATATATACACATACATATATATGCATTGTCAAATTATTTTTGACAGGGTTGACAAGACCATTCAGTAGGGAAAAGAGAGTCTTTCTAATAAATAGTGCTGGGGAAACTGAATATCCACATGAAGGAGAATGAGTTTGGACCCCTACCACATACCAATACAAAAATTAATTCGTAAAAGAACTAAAGATAAATGTAAAAGCTAAAACTGTTAGAAGAAAATATTTGTAAATTGTCATGACCTTGTCATAGGCAGTATTTTTTTATATGACACGGGAAGTACATGGAACAAAAGATAAATTGAACTAAGTCAAAATTTAACATTTTGCTTCAAATAGCATCATCTTGAGAGTGAAGGAACCTATAGAATGGGAGAAAATAAAGTAAATCATATTTGATTTAGAAAAATAAATAAAACTTGTGTCTGGAATAGTGAAGAGCTCTTATAATTCAATAATAAAGAATATTATTAGAACAGATACTTCACCAAGGAAGATAATACAGATGGCAAATGAGTAAGTAAAAAATTTCTCCACATCCTTTGACATGAAAGAATTGCAATTCAAAACAGTAAGACACCACATGCACCAATTAGAATTAACTAAAATCCAAAACACTGAAAAACACCAAATGCTGGCGAGAATATAGAACACCAGAAACATTCATTTATTGCTGGTGGGAATGTACTTTGGAAGTTACTGTATGATTCCATGATTTTTGGTTTTTATATAAAATGAACAAATAGGCAAATACATAGAGCCGGAAAATAGATGAGTGTTTTCCAAGGGCTGCTGGGGGGTTAGGAGGAAACCTGGAAGTGGGTGGCAGTTAAAATTCGAGGTTCTTTGGAGGTAATGAAAATTCTTCAAAAATTGTGTTGGTTGCCCAGCTATAAATATACTATAAAGTACTGAGTTGTATACCTTGAAGTGGTTAATTATATGATATGCAAATTATATCTCAAAGCTGATACAGAAACAAAAATATGCTATAAATTGTGTTTGTATAGACAAGGTGTTTTGAAAGAACTCAGAAATTTAGTGAGTTTTGATGGAACCAGGCTTACTTAAGAGTAGCAGAGCATAAAGTATACAATAAGATATTTGTTTAATAAATTAGTAAGCACTCAAATAGATCTTTTGACCTGTAGGTCCCTGAGCAGCAGCCCATTACTTTGTGTAGTGGGGTTGAAGACACAAAGCATTATGAGGAAGCCAAGAAATGTGTAGAAGAATTAGCATTGTATCTGAAACCACTCAGCAGTGCTAGAGGTAAATCTGATGCAATTATTCATGCTAAGAAAGTGTTTTATTAAAGCTGCTATTATTACCATTAAAATGGTGGGCTATAAATGAAAGTTTAATGAAAGACATTTGTTATAAAACTAAACCTATTGGTACTAATTTAGAGATTATGTGATGTTGGAAACATTTGAATGTATTACACAGGTAAATGCAAATACAATAGTTGTTTCAAAAGGGTACTCCATCATTTAACAACCCTGAATTGTATTCCTTCTATTCACTTTATTGTGTGCTACTGAGGATGTAATAAAATTGAAAGTTATTGCATTTGTTATTTCACTGGGAAGTTAATAAGATTAACCATAATAAAATAACCTTACAGAACTGTTATGACCTCAGTATTTGGGTTTTAAGCTAATTGTTAATGCTGTCTGGTCTTTTTTCCCCCCCTCTGTATTCCTCCATGATTAAAATGAATAATGGTACATTTAATACCATCAGTGTTAAATTTACATGAGATAACAGCTTTCAAAAATGCAAACAGTGTTCTACTCATGTAATATTATTGTTTAAATATTATAGCCAAACCTGGACTATTCTCATATCCATAAGTCAATCAGCCCATCAGAGGAAGTGCTTCTGTTCTGTAAAATGCATTGTAACCTTGAAATGACCTTTTACTGTCTTAAAGGAGTGGGTCTGAATAGCACCACTCAGAGTGTTCTGAGTCGCCCAATGCAGAGGAAGCTGGTGACTCTGGTCCACTGTCAACTAGTGGAAGAAGAAGGCAGGATTCGTGCCATGAGGGCCGCTCGATCTTTGGGCGAACGAACAGTCACAGAGCTCATTCTCCAACACCAGAATCCTCAGCAACTCTCTTCCAATCTTTGGGCAGCAGTCAGGGCTAGGGGTTGCCAGTTCCTTGGACCAGGTATGTAATTAAAGTTTGATATTTACTGGTGATTCTAAAAGTATGATGTGCAGGAACTTAACAAGTAATGTACAAGGGCTAGTTCTTTGCAATATTCTGTTATTACCAGGTACTATCCCATTTGACAATCATGACTTGGGCAATACGTTGTGTTTTTCAGAGTATTTAAAACTTTTAATGCCAAACATACAATTTTGTAGAAGTATTGTATTAGTTTTTTTTAAAGGCTGATTTTTTTTTTTTTAAAGATTTATTTATTTGTTTGTTTGTTTGTTTTATTTTTTTATTTATTTATTCAAGCACTGGGTACAGTCAGAAGCGCGGGAGGGTGAGAGAATTCACCAGAGCCAGAGCGGGGAGCAGAGCAGGCAGAAGGACCGAAGTACACTGCTGAGGGGAGCAGCGGGCGGCAGGAGAGGTCTGCGCGCCATGTGGGACCCTCCTCTGGTGGCCAGGGAGCAGCCGGGGATCTAACTGGCGCTGCAGAGGCTGTGGGCAGCTTCGCAACCCAGCGCTCAACTGCTGCGCCACCGGGGAGGCCCTGTATTAGTTTTTTTTAATCTGCTTTCTTAAAATATATAGAATGCAGTACAGAATTTGTCCCAAACAATTAAGATGTGTAACTGTAAATATTTGTTATTGTGTAGTCTTCTGATTAAGTGGTACCTGCAAGATTCTAATGAATGGATTTTTGGGGTACTATCTTTATATATAATAGAATATAAAATATACTATTTTGGGGGTATCTATCTTTGTATAAATTTATCATTTTTAATTATGGAAATTCTGGTTTACAACACTGTATGTGATTAAGTGGTATAGGGTCTTACCTCTTAAAATGTAACTACACCACTTAATCATCTATTATAATCCTTGGGGCACCCTCTCCACTTCTCACCCTCCCTTTCTGGTAACCTCAGTTCTGAAATCAGATTTCAAGGGTTGTATGGGCTTAGTTTTTCTGTTCCCTTGTTTTGCTTCTTAATAGTCCACATATGAATAAAATTATTTGTCTTTTTCCTCCTGATTTATTATACCTAGTATAACCCTTCCATTTTAAATAGATTTATCTCTCTGCAAGTGATAACTTTTTGTTTTGTCCAACTTTTTCTTAGCAATGCAGGAGGAAGCTTTAAAGCTGGTTCTGCTGGCGTTAGAAGATGGTTCTGCTTTGTCAAGAAAAGTATTGGTTCTCTTTGTGGTGCAAAGGTTGGAGCCACGGTTTCCTCAAGCCTCTAAAACTAGCATTGGGCATGTTGTCCAGCTCCTTTATAGAGCCTCCTGCTTCAAGGTATAAACCTTTGTCAGATTTCAACTTAAAAGGAAACATCGTCCATTCCCAAACTTGAATAGTAAAAACTTCGAATTTACTAAAATTGTCTTTATTTTTTCAGAAGATTTCAGCTTTTTTCTTTTAAAGTTGATGGTACCTATTATACTTAAATCCTGTTGTTTTGAATTTTGTTTGTTATTGAACAATGTATCAATAGATCAGACCGAGGCTTATAGATTTTTGTATTCCAAGAAACAAATAAGCTGTGTCAGTTTCCAGTCAAGACCATGAGCAGAACTGGTGTGAAGAGAGTCATTGAAGCAAAAATGAATTTTATTTGGCTATTTGCTTCAGGTAAAATTCCATATATACAGTACTAGAGCTCCTTTTGCCATTTCAGTTTGAGTATATATAGTAATGCTGAACATAGTCTTTTGTATCCCAAATTAAATCAGTAATACTTCAAACATTGGTGCCCACTATATCTCATATAATGTCAAAACTTCTTGCTTCTGGCAGCATGTAACAAGACAATACAGACAAAGGCAACATGTCTCTAAAAACTTGTTATTCAGGGCCTCGCTGGTGACACAAAGGGTTAAGACGCAACCTATGAAGCTATCTGCAGCCACTGCAACATTAGTTCAATCCCTGGCCAGGGAGCTACCCACACAGCACAGCAGACCTCTCCTGCCTCACCCTCTACTCCCCTCAGCAGTGTATTTCAATCAGTCTGCCTGTTCTGTTCCCTATTCTGTCTCTGGTGAATCCTTCTACCCCCCATACCTCTGGCCTGTACTCCAGTTCTTGTATGCATAAATACATAACTCGTTTTTTAAAAATTAAAAATAAAAATAAAAACTTGTTATTCATCCACATAAGAAAATTCTTTCCTGAGATCACCATATTCTGTCACCAGTGACTCAAACTAAAAAAATCCCACATTAACTATTCTAGTATATTATTTTCTGAGAAAGGATAAAATGGTTCACAACAACAGAAAATTCTACATTTATTTTAAAAAATTTAAATAAAATGACTATATAATGCTGTTTCTTTCTAGAGTTAGATTATATACTAAAAGTGGGGTGTAGACTATAGAAAAGTATCCACTTATCTCATTTTCTTTAGGATACCTCTGAAACTATCAGAACCTTTAGTCATAATAACTTCAGTTGCTCTAGATTTTTCCTGAATATCTTCAATTTTTTTTAATGATTATTTTTTTTAAGATTTATTTTTAATTTATACAATAGCTGGGGTACATGCCAGAGGCACAGGAGGGTGAGAGGAGACAGAGTGTGGGGAGCAGAACAGGCAGACAGATCGAAAGCACTGCTGATGGGAGCAGCAGGCACGACAGGAGAGGTCTGCCACACCATGTGGGACACTCCCTGGCCCGCCGGGAATCGAACCCACACTGCAGAGGCTATGGATAGCTTCACAATACTGTGCTCAACCCGCTGCGCCACTGGGGAGGCCCTGAAATGATTATAATAGCACTGGAGTACATTTCAGAATGCCCATCTGTCTGCTTCAATTTGTTTTCCATCAACAAATACCATATAGGAAGCTTAAAAAACAAAGAAAAAATCCAACCTGTGAAGAATAATAGGGGCTAAAAAAACTCCAAAATACTCACAAAATGAACCTCTTTTGATGCTCATTAAATTCATTAATAGTTCTTTTAAAAATTGGAAATTTTTAAAGTAAATTATATTTTACTTGGGTGATGATTATTTCTCTTTATTTCATTAGCCACCCATTTTGTTCTTTTGATGGTGATTTGTATTACAGTTTCATATATGACAAGATACTTGTGTCATCAGAAAAAAGTCCATATTCAAACTTAATTTACTATAGTAGAGTGTCAAATGTCTATCAGTATCCATTTCATCATCTTCAGGGAATTCAAATCAGACTACATTTCCATACTTACTTTCAGGTTTATTTGTCAATTTATCTGTGTTCTGGCTTTTTTTTTTTTTTTTTAAAGTATCTCTCTTATTTTCATTTGAAAAGTCTTTTCAAGCTGTGGAGTAGATATTTCTGGTTATTCTTAGGCCATTAGAGATCCAGGACTTTAGACATTGCATCCATTGGAAATCCTTCATTGTTTTTAGTTAAAGACAACATCAAGAGTCAAGTCTAGGGAGCCGGTATATCATATAAAAAGTATATACCACATTTTAATGAGGGCTAGCCTATATTGAGGGGTTATTTTCATACATAAACTCTTTGGATTTGCCTTTGCTTAGGGGCAAAATACATTTAGTTTTTGTGACTATAGTTTTTGGTGTTTTAGCTATTTGGTCTTTCAGTGGACCTACCTAGAGTCATTATCTGAATAAAAGGCTAACCAGACATAATATGTCCAAAATATAGTAAGAGGTTATAGGTAATCCTGGTCTGGAATTATTTTACTTTGCTATGTTGAGTCTTTGGCCTAATTCCAGCTAAAATGTGAATTATTGCAGGTAATAATTAAAATACCAACCTCAACAAATTTAGAGAATAAAATGAGTTAATGCAGTAATATAACTGTTAATAAGGTAACAACATTGACCTGCATATACTAAGTGAGCAATTAGTATTATTATCATCATTACGATTATTGTAGTCCAGCATCTCAAAAGCCATACTTTTTGATGGTGGCCCCAACCCACAAAATTCCATTGAAAATTAAGCCAACTACAAATCAGTAATCTTTAGAATCACACAAGCATATGAAACTCTTTCAGTTACAAGTATCAGCTAACTCAAAGCCAGGCAAGCCCAAGAGTAATACCACAGCTGTGGAGTAGAATATACAATGTTTTTCAGAATAATTGTACTTAATATTTTATTTTCAAAACTGCACATTAAACTGTGTGTCTTTGTTAATGTTTGGATTTCATTCCATCATGTGTTAATACATTTCTTTCTGTAAGACCTGGTCCAAAAAATTTTGAAATTCCTGAAGGGGAAAATTTGTACTGACAAAACAGTGTATTCCATTTTACTCTTAATATTGTTGCTAAAAGAAATGTTTTTGTTGTATTGAAGATTATCTGTATGTGGTCATATAAAATATAAAACCACTTTGTTTCTTGCCTAAACCATTATAAGATTGTGTGTGTGTGTCTTACTAGGTTACCAAACGTGATGAAGACTCTTCTTTGATGCAGCTGAAAGAAGAATTCCGAACCTATGAAGCACTGCGGCGAGAACATGACTCCCAGATAGTGCAGATTGCTATGGAAGCAGGCTTACGAATTGCACCAGACCAGTGGTCCTCATTGCTTTATGGAGACCAGTCTCACAAGTCTCATATGCAGTCCATCATTGATAAGGTAGACCCTTTTTTGTTACTTCTTAGAATTGATCCTAGAAGTTTGATAATTCATTTATTTAACAAATATGTTTAAGTGAATATTGTATGTCAGCCTCTTGTAAGTTATATTCTCTGAGTGTCATATCAGGTTAATCAAATCATAATAACATATAATCATAATACCAGATAAAGATTTGATAAGTGTTATCATGCTTTATTCAGTGTACTCTCATTCTTTTGAAAGTCTCTATCTGCCTTTGTTCCTGTTCTTTTATTTTTCTCTGAGTTTTGATCAGTGTGTTAGTTAAACCCATTTCTAAATGACTTTATTGTGTTCCTGAAGCATTCAGTGGTCTGGAAGATGTACGCATTGAGATTTCTTATGATTCTTAGCCAGAATAATTTCATATAGTAAGTTACCAACCATTCTAAGTTTGATCATATTTTTGGTAAACTTATTTCTACTTTATTTGTTGTTATGATGAAAACATCATTAGAGTACACGTGACTACAGGTCAGGTTCCATTTACTTCTGACTCTAAGAGCTATATATTTAGTTCTCTTAAAACTAGAGTAATACTGTAATAAGACTTTATGGTCTTGTTACATTAAAAAGTCTTGCTATAGGCCTCCCCGGTGGCGCAGCAGTCGAGCGCTGGGTTGTGAAGCTGCCCCCGGTCACCGGAGGAGGGTCCCACATGGCCGCAGACCTCTCCTGCCGCCCGCTGCTCCCCTCAGCAGTGTACTTCGGTCCTTCTGCCTGCTCTGCTCCCTGCTCTGGCTCTGGTGAATTCTCTCACCCTCTCATGCTTCTGACTGTACCCAGTGCTTGTATGTATGTATTATGTATGTATGTATGTATGTATAAATAAATAAATAAATAAATCTTTTTTTTTTTTTTAAAGAAAAAAAAGTCTTGCTATATAGGGCTTCCCCTGGTAGTGCAGCAGTTGAGCGCTGGGCTGCGAAGCTGCCCACAGCCTCTGCAGTGCCGATTTGATCCCCGGCCGCTGGGTGAGGGTCCCACATGGCGCGCAGCCCTCTCCTGCCGCCCGCTGCTCCCCTCAGCAGTGTATTTCTTCGTCACTCTGCCTGTTCTGTTCCCTGCTCTGGCTCTGGTGAATTCTCTCACCCTCCCGTGCTTCTGACTGTACCCGGGTTCTTGTATAAATAAATAAATAAATCTTTTTTAAAAGGGGGGGGGATAATATCTATTTTTTAAAAAAAAAGTCTTGCTGTATAAAAAGTCTTAAGTGCATGTAAAATATATTATGTTCATTAATAGTATTTTAAATTTTTCTTTGTTTTACCTTATTTATAACCAGAGATGATTATCCATTAAACTATACCTTAGATTTCATTTGAGAAATAAGGTCAATATATAAGAGTAGGCCTAAATACATAATAATTAATACATAGATTTTATTATGTGCCTGATGGTTTTAAATAATTCAGTAATTTTCCCAACAACCCTGGCATTATTACTTTTATACAGAGATAGTGAAGCTAAGTACATTTCTTCAGTATCATATAGGTAATAAGTGAGCTGGATTTGAGTTCAGGGCATTCAGACTCTAAAATCCATGTTCTTAACCATTCCACCTCTTTCCACATTATTTTTGGACTGCCCCCTTCCCCCCTTATTTGCTGTTCACAAATACAAAATTATTTGTGTGAGTAGTAGATTGACATCAAAAGAGAGTTGGGAAATGTGTTTGATAACTTCATTTTGCATAAATTTCACTACTATATATATTTGTTCCATCCTTCTCTAGAAGAGTTCCCTTTAACCTAATTTTTACCTGCAAGTCCTATAATTATGTAACTGTCTATAACTGAATAAAACCATAGTAATGATTTCTTAAAGGAGTAGCTTTCTTCCAATGAATAGAAACTTATCTTGCTTTTATAAATATTCTACAAGAAGGTTTTTTTAGGGCCTCCCCTGGTGGCTTCGCGGTTGAACGCTGGGCTGCAAAGCTGTCTGCAGCCTCTGCAGCACCGATTCAATCCCCAGCCGTTGGAGAGGGTCCCACATGGCGCTACAGACCTATCCTGCTGAGCCCGCTGCTCCCCTCAGCAGTATCTTTCTTCGTCAGTCTGACTGTTCTGTTCCCAGCTCTGGCTCTGGTGAATTCTCTCACCCTCCCGGGCTTCTGACTACCCAGTGCTTGTATAAATAAATACATCTTTTTTTTTTACAAAAAAAAAAGGAGATTTTTTTTTTTTACAAAAAAAAAAGGAGATTTTTTTTTTTTTACAAAAAAAAAGATGTATTTATTTATGCATACAAGAGCTGGGGTGTAGGCCAGAGGTGTGGTGGCAGGGGGAGTGAGAGGATTCACCAGAGACAGAGTGAGGAGTAGAACAGGCAGATTGACTGAATTACACTGCTAAAGAGATGAGCGGGCAAGACAGGAGAGGTCTGCTGTGCCATGTGGGTTAGCTGACTATAGAACTGAGGCTACCAGAGGGGAAGCGGGAGTGAGGAGAGCAAGGTGGGCAGGGAGCACAGTGGACTATGGTGGTCAGCTATGGGTGTCTTAGTGGTATGTGCAGTGTGGTAACAGCATCTGAGGGGAGAGAACCTATATTTCTAATACACCTCCAATGATGTAAACCAATACTAATTAAGAAAAAAACTAAAAGCATAAAAAGTAAAAAAAAAAAAGTCTCGCATTTAAAAGGTATAATGAATAAGAAAGGAAGTGGATGTTAAGTGGTAGTTGAATTAAGTTCTTCAACATTTGAATATTACTATTTATTTTTGCAAATCTATATAACCAGAATTTTAAAAAGTATTATTTGTATTTGTTTTTTAATTATTTTCTTTGATAGTAACACCGTTTTGTGATTGGAACAAATCCTAACCAAATGCTTCAGGAACATTTATAACGCCTTTGTTCCAGAAGATGCTTTGAAGATGATGAAGCCTGAATCTTTTGGGGGGGGGTTTCCACTTCTAGTCACAGACCATAAATCCTGTTGAGGGCTTAGAACTTCAAATCTTGGCTTTGGTAGTGAAAGGCTCAGTGAGTGAGTGAAAGATGAATAAAAGCATGCCAGCATTTAGTGATAATTGTGTGTTTTTTCTGTGTTTTTATAAATGTATGCTTTTTTTAAAGTTGCCTCTTATAGATTGACCTTTTGGGGAAGAAAAATTCTCATCTATATTAATAAACAGCATAGAAAACTAAAGGCTCTCTGTAAGCCCCCATAGTTCATCACTGTCATTTTCCTCCCCTCCCCCCTGTTAAAGGTCATGTGTATGAACAGCTTAGGGAATTCAGCACAATGATGTGTGTCATTAAACCTTAGGGTGGGTATACAACTAGTATACCCTAATTAGTTCCAAGAATCCCAAATCAGTATAGGATATTTTTGAACTGAGTGAACTCATGGAATTATTTATTCCATGTAACAGATGGATTCAGATTGAGTTTGTAAAGATTATGGCCAGAGCGATCATCTTGTATCTAGAACCTGAACTCAAATTTTGTTTAAATAAGTTCATTTTCTTTGTTGCTTTTGCTATTATATAATGTTTATCTGTAGACTATATTGCAAAGTTCAGTTATTTGGAAGGGCCTCCAGAACTAAGCTAACATAGTGTTAGACAAACAGATTGGAAAGAGAACTTCTAAATTGAGGGGTTGAAAAAGGTCCAACATTTGAGGACTGTGGCAGCAGAGGGAATAGACTGTACAATATACCAAACTGGATATTGAGAAATGCAGGATTCAGGTAGCAGGTAATTGAATCTGGCCAAAGTGTGATAGGTTTGAAATTAAATTTAATAAATTGCAAAAGTGATTGTGATTACCATTATTATATTTATTTATAATTGTATAATTATTGTATAATTGTATGTTTATTGTAAAGAATCTTTATTTTTAAAGGATTATCTGGCATTTAGGAAAGTTAATATTTATGTTTTTTAAGTTGCAGACCCCAGCCTCTTTTGCACAAAGTGTTCAGGAATTAACAATTGCTCTCCAGCGGACTGGAGATCCAGCAAACTTGAACCGACTAAGACCCCATTTGGAGCTGTTAGCAAACATTGACCCTAGTCCAGGTAAACCCAAAGAATTTAATTACCCTTTGTGTGCCTCAGCACTGCTCAATGATTCTTTTAATTATGTTCTGTTACTGTCACCTAGAATTTTCCAGAGTAGTTATTCCAGATCTTTTCTATAGTATTTTAAATTTCTGGCTCCAATCTTGTCCATCTAATATTTATTTAAAACTTTTAACTGTGCTGCTTGTTTTGCCAGGAAAGTAGATTCTTTGTGTCTTTCATCACAAAATGATATATCTAGCAATGCCAGGCTTGCATCTTCACATAACAATAGTTGGCTGAAGTTGAATAGTAACCATAACTTTAGATGTGAAACATACTATCCAGATCATCCTCTTGTTCAGATTATTTTCTGTTCTCATCCCAACACTAAGATTCTAGTGGATTTGTTGTCTAACCCACTGAATTCCTTTTTGCTACATTCCCTGTCCCTGTGGTTATTTTACTTTGCAACCTTAGCTTTAAAAATATATATTCATTCTTTAAAATGTTTAGGTGAATAAGTTATCTGAAAGACTGTATGGAGCTTAGCTTGATTTCACATCAGTGCTAATCCTAACACCTTTATTGATTTAATGTTGGGAGAAATATTGAGTAGCATAATTTAAAATCTCTTTGTTTATTATGTAGATGCTCCTCCTCCTACTTGGGAACAGCTAGAAAATGGGCTGGTTGCTGTGCGTACAGTGGTACATGGGCTGGTTGATTATATTCAGAATCATAGCAAAAAAGGAGCAGACCAACAGCAGGTAAAGAAAAGTTTGAAACTTAGAAATAGGCTACTATGGATATTCTTATAAGTATAAAGTAAGCCAGCCAGATCATGGGAATTTTTTGAGAGTCTAATTATAGAAACTAAATTAACATAGTATGGCTAACAGATTATTGGAATTAGCCTAGTATTAATCTAGTCAACACTGAAATGAAATAATCCTTGTTGGTCTAATGTGCTAGAGTCACATTTCACATTGGATATAACAGAATGATTCTGTGCTAAAAGGTATCTCATTTAAAAAAGATTATTTTCTTTGGTTATAATTGCATTTCAGTTTAACCATAGGTGTATATGTTTTAGTGCTAATGCTCTGTATATTTGTGATACTGTTTACATATTTATACTTTTCTGTGTTAGCATTTAAAAAATTTTCATTCATAATGTTATGGCAGTGGGTAAAATTTCCTGAAATTAAAAAAATTAAATATTATTAGGCAATAAAATAGAATAATGTATGTTATGGCCAGAACTTTACATTTTATTCCCAATAATTTTGTTTTGCCTTTAGGATTTATGTTAGAGTCATTAAGTCTTGTATTTTGTACTACTAAGTTTGAGAAATTAAAACGTGGTTATTTATCTGCCTCATAAATATTAACAATATATTTGTCAATATTCCTTTTATCCTTGAAAGACAGGAAATTCAAAAAGTATCCTGCTAGGTAGAATAATGTAGATTTGATTTTCCTAATCATGCTAAGCACAGGGGAGAGCTTTGTTTTATGAAGAAATAAAAGAAAAGAGAAACTTATTTTTAACTCACTGTTCCATTAAATGTCATGAAGAAAATAACAAATAATTAAGACTAATAAGAGAAAATATATATTAAATTTTATTTAATGTGGTTTTGTGCTTGTTATCTCTTAACTACCAAATACTTTGTCTTACCTTATCTCTCATGTTGTAAGTAGTACATTATAAGTAATAAATTTCATTTGTATCTTTAGAGCTATTTTAAGTTCTGATGTATTCTTCTCTGAGTCAATAATTGGTTATCGAATATTCTTACTTTGTAGGGCCTATTGTAGATTTGTGATGTTAAATAAAGGAAAACATCATTACACATATAGCTATACTGAACATTGCTCAAAACAAATATTAGAACAGTTTAAACATTTGAAAGTCCTAAATGCCAATGGTTTGTTTGTTTAAAAAACCTGGAGAGTAGATCATAGAACCCTCATGATATTTAATCAAGAATTTTTGGGGCAGGGTGGGAAGCAAACATTTAAAAATGAAAAATGATGTAAAAAATATATAAATAAAAAGAAAATTAGAAAAAGAATTTGTGTGATGCTATATGTTTGAGAATTAATGCCAACATCAGAAAAATCCATGACTGCATTCTTTTTAGTTAATCTGTTTTTGGACTCTGAGACTTTAGATAAAATGAGTTCCATCATTTTTGCTGTATATAATGTAGATAGGTATGTGAATTTATTTCATTTATTCATCTATACAATAAAGATCCTAAAATGGCTGCACAAAATTTACATGTGTGGTTTTTTTTTTTTTTTAAGTGGCTAATATTTTCATCTGGTCTTAGCCTCCACAGCACAGTAAATATAAAACATACATGTGTCGAGATATGAAGCAGAGAGGAGGATGTCCTCGTGGAGCCAGCTGTACATTTGCACACTCACAGGAGGAACTGGAAAAGTAAGTGTGAAGATTTTAGATTTAGCCTATAACTTGTTAAAGAATAAGGGACATGTTGGGGCCTCACTACTCCCTGGTAGTGCAAGGGGTTAAATCAGCACTATGAAGCAATCCACAGCTACTGCGGCACAAGTTCAATCCCCAGCCAGGGAAGTGACCCATGTGGCGCAGTAGACCTCTCCTGACTCGCCTGCTGGTACCCTCAGCAGTGTATTTCAGTCAATCTGCCTGTTCTGCTTCCCATTCTGTCTCTGGTGAATCCTCTGACTCCCTGCACCTCTGGCTTATACCCCAGTTCTTGTATGTATAAATAAATAAATCTTAAAAAAAGAATAAGGGAGAAGTATTTAGTAGAACAATTTGCCACCATTGAGATACACAAAAGGAAAAAAGATAAGTAAAAAGAAGCAAAATAAAAAATGCAGTAAGTGATTGTATTATCTTTATTATCTGCAATAAATGGTATGTTCTAGAAAACAATACTGAATTTTTTTTTTTTTTTTAAATTTTTTTTTTATAGAGGCATGTTTTATTTATTTATTATTTGCTTGTTTGTTTTGTTTATACATGCACTGGGTACAGTCAGAAGCGTGGGAGGGTGAGAGAATTCACCAGAGCCAGAGCGGGGAGCAGAGCAGGCAGAAGGACTGAAGTACACTGCTGAGGGGAGCAGCGGGCGGCAGGAGAGGTCTGCGCGCCATGTGGGACCCTCCTCCGGTGGCCGGGGAGCAGCCGGGGATTGAACCGGCGCTGCAGAGGCTGCGGGCAGCTTCGCAACCCAGCGCTCAACCGCTGCGCCACCGGGGAGGCCCCAACAATACTGAATTTTAAGAAAGAAAACTAGTTTCTTTCATTATATCATGCTTATAAATAGAAAATGATTTATGGTTGACTCAGTTTAGAAATGAGTTATTTTCACTATCTAAAAAGTTCTAATTCTAAGAATTTTCATCAATTTTAACTGATATTGACTAATTGAATAATGCATTTCCAATGGAAAAATTTGTCCACTTCTCTGTTTTAAGAAATTACTTAGTTAGACTCAGTTTCACAGATTTTTTTCAAATTTCAAGGAGTAGGTAATTCTGATGATAAAGTTTGCAACACATACTAGAAAAAAAGAAAACAGGGCCTCCCCTGGTGGCGCAGGCGGTTGAACACCGTGCTGTGAAGCTGTCCGCAGCCTCTTCAGCACCAGTTCCATTCCGTCCAGCCAGCAAGGGTCCCATATGTTGAGGCAGACCTCTCCTGTCTCACCCGCTGCTCCCCTCAGCAGTGTATTTCAGTCATTCTGCCTGTTCTGCTCCCTTCTCTGTCTCTGGTGAATCCTCTCGCCCTCCCACTCATCTGGCCTGTACCCTGGTTCTTGTATAAATAAATAAATAAATCTTTAAAAAAAAAAAGAATTAAAAAAAAGAAAACATTTTTTTTTTCAAAGCCAATACAACACTGACACTAAATTTGACAAAGATAGCAGAAATATCTCATATATTAATATTTTTTAAATCCAAAATTTTGGTATTTGTAAGTTTTTACTAGAATTGGTAAATTTTTCTTAGTGCACACTGGCTTTTTATTTTATTCTTAATTTTTTAATACTGGCTCACTGTTACTAAAGCATTTGAGGGGACACTAATGTCGAATGTTCCCAAAACTTCTGAAGATTTTTCTAACCCTTTTCTAATAAGTTTTTGAAATAGAAATTTCAATAAATATTAGTTATAGTCTAGATATTAATTAGCATGATTTATGTTACAAATACTCGTTATAAGAAATTTTATACTTGATAAATAATGTGCTTGTAATCTTTTTGTACCTATTTCTTATATTTATTTTAATGATTGGTTTGGTTTTGCTTTCATAATACTAGATTTTGGTGTGTGCCTTTGGTTTTTTAGATTCCGTAAAATGAATAAGCGCCTGGTTCCCAGAAGACCCCTGAGTGCCTCTTTGGGTCAACTTAATGAAGTGGGCCTGCCTTCAGCAGCTATACTTCCAGATGAAGGTGCAGTGGATCTGCCTAACAGAAAACCCCCTGCTCTGCCAAATGGAATTGTATCAGCAGGGAACACAGTAACAAAGCTGATTCCACGAGGGACAGACACCAACTACGATTCTAGTCTGAAACCAGGAAAGATAGATCACCTGAGCAGTAGTGCCCCTGGATCCCCTCCTGACCTGTACGTCATTTTTCCTCTTATTTGTTCTTCTTTATGAAAAAAGTAGAGAAGGAAAAAATAATCATTGTCTTGTTTTTTAAAAAAGACTCTGGTGATTTTCTTTTCTTTTTCCTATACTATCTTTTTAAGAAATAATTAGCATAGATGAAAGAAGATCCAAGTTTGCACACTTTATAGAAGAAATGACAATTAAAAGAAATATGTTTACTTAATTGTTGCTGTTTTTTACTTTAACATTTTGCATTCATTAGAAGTATTTTGGAAACCTTAAACTTGACTTTCAGAATCTTATGTCCCTAGGCTAGAACCTGTCCCCAAGAGTATTTCTGCCTTACCTGTGAATCCACATCCTGTACCTCCAAGGGGACCAGCAGACCTTCCACCTATGCCTGTCACCAAACCACCTCAGATGGTATCACGAGGCTCTCAGTTATATCCAGCTCAGCAGGCAGATGTTTATTATCAGGATCCTCGCGGAGCTGCTCCACCATTTGAACCAGCACCTTATCATCAGGGTAATACTCTTTCATTTTATGTCACTCACTTTTCTTAGGACTTAAGAGAATTATCTGAGTCGTCTCCTACTAAAAACTTCTTTTAATACTTTGGTAAAAGCATTTTATAAGCAACTAAATAGTATGAAAAAAGATGAAGTAGCAAAACTATAAAAAGCAAATAATCTACTAAAAATTATATATTAAATATGTTCACATATTTATGGAAATAAATCAGCCAAGTAGATAGTGGAAATTGCCTGTGTAAGGTAGTATGTATCTTCCTGACCAAAATTTTCTTTAAGCATTAAAAAAAAGAAATGAATATTATAATGGCTATAAATTATTTTTATTCCCATCAGATTTTACTGATATGCCATATATAAGTTTGAGACACAACTTCACACATCAGCATATACACATGCTTCACTTGCCCTCTACCAAAGTTCCAGTGCCCATACACTAACTTAACCCTGTGTTACACAAACACACACCATTGATAACCATAGTTTCCACAGATTATGTTATTTTTGTGTCTTGCTAGTTTGTTTTCTTTATTTATAATCCACAAATGAGAGAAACCATCTGATACTTGTCTTTCATTTTCTGACTTTGCTTATTAGCACAATAATCTCAAGATCTATCCATTTTGTCCCAAAAGTCAGTGTAGCTGAGTAGCATTCTACTGACCCTGTATACCAAAATATCGTTACCCAGTAGTGCATTTAGGTTGATTTCCATATCTTGGCTATTGTAAATAATGCTTCTATAAACATCAGAACCCATAAATCCTCTTGTGTTAGTGTTTCCATATTCTTGGAAAAATATGTATGAGTGGTATTGCTGTATCAAATGGCATTTCTCTAAGAAATCTCCTTAACATTTTTCATTGATTGCACCAATTTACATTCCCACCAACAGTGAATTAGTGTTCCTTTTTCTCCACACCCTTCTCAACCAACACTTGTTTGTTGTAGGCCATTCTCACAATGTGAGATAACATCTCATTGTAGTTTTGCTTTTTAGTTCCCTTACAATAATGATGTTGACCATAAATAAATGGATTGCAAAATTGAGAGTGTAGAGTCTGAAGGATTAAGGAGACTATATGATAGGTATGGAGAATGAAGGAAAGGAGATGACCGAGATTTCATATATACAATCAAAAAACAAAAACAAAAAACCCCACTTTTTTTAAACTAAAGTATTAGATCTCTGTCAAAGACAGAATAGTGTTATTTTTTAAACTGGGATAGATTAAAGGTGCTCTCCAGTTCTTTAAGACTGTCCTAATTTTGAATCACAAATGCCTTCTGTAGTTAAAAGTGTAGCTTAAAATTGATAATGACATTATTGATACATGTAAAAATATCATTAAAGTTGATTTATAGCCTCTTTTAGACCATCCAATAAGGAGAAACTAACTGCTTTTGCTGAGATAATCTTAAGTACACTGTCAGTCAGAGTTTGATTATAGATAACAGAAATCATTCTAGCTCTGCAAAGCATCAAGAGTTTTAATACAGGGTATTTAGGTATTTTACACAATGAGTACTGGAGAAGCAGGCTTACGTTAGACCTCTAGGAATGAGTCCCAATACTGACCAAAGAAAACACATTTGTCAGTGAATAAGTAGTAGAAATAGGAATGTCTTAATTGCCAGCCCCAAGACCAGATCATTTTAAGTATCAGCCTGGAAATTGAGAAACTACTGCTACAATTATTGCTTCAAGAACTCTAAAGTTAGGCAGTATCTATGGGTCTGCCCAGCAGAGTGGTCCCTTTGTGCACCATATCTCTTTCCAGTTAACTAAATTTCACATTCAAAACTCATTCAAGAATGATTTATGGGACCCCCAAAGAAATGCAGTTTACTCTCCAGTGTTTACATTGCAATAGTCAATGTATTGAGACACCACTCTACTATGATAGATTATAGGCAGATTTGTTGTTTTCAATGATTTTTAGGGATAATTTTTGCTTGTTATTTTTCATAAAGCTACATAAAAAGGGGGGAACATCTAAAGGAATGAGTGGATTGTTAATTATTGTTAAAAATTGAGTATTGAAATATTTGGAAAGGAAAAGTCTTACTTAGGAAATTAGATTGGCTTATTATTGCTTTTGGTTCCTCTTTTATATTGTACAGGCATGTACTATACTCCACCACCACAATGTGTGTCCCGCTTTGTCCGACCTCCACCATCTGCACCTGAACCTGGTCCTCCCTACTTGGATCATTATCCACCCTACCTCCAAGATCGTGTAGTAAATTCTCAGTATGGCACACAGCCACAACAATACCCACCTATGTACCCTCCACACTATGATGGCCGTCGACTATACCCTGCTCAGTCTTATGGGAGAGAGGAAATTTTCCGAGAAAGTCCTATTCCCATTGAAATTCCAGCTGCAGCAGTACCGTCCTATGTACCAGAATCCAGAGAAAGATATCAACAAATGGATGGTTACTATCCAGTGGCTCCTCATCCAACTCAGATCAGACCATACATGAGAGTATGCTGTATTTTTGTCTTATTACATAGATACAAGTAGATAGTTGCTTACAGTGATTTTTTTTTAAAACTTTTTTTGCAATGGTAATAATCCTGATCAATTCTTTTTTGAATAAGAAAAATTACTGTTTTTTTTTCCTCCTTCATAAATTGGGTAGGTTTGTTGTTGTTGTTGTTGTTTTTTTTTAAGTTAAACTCATTAAAGGGGAAAAAGTTTTCTATCCTGTTAGTTTGTGAACTTCAGATAGTTTTATTAACATTTTTAGATCTATTTGAAAATTAATGGTCTCTGGTCAAGAAAAGGATATTTAAACTTAGCTCTTAGGAATTTCTGAAAGGTTTTTTTAGATTTTTGTTCTGCCTTGTTTTGTTTTATTAAAAGTCTTGGGATTACCAAATGTTAGGACTGGTATACAAGCTGCTGCTTATTTAAAGTAGGTGCTGAATGAATTAATGTATTCCATAATTCTTTTTCAATTTTAATCTTTGCATTTTTAGGAGCCTTCTTATAGCCGGTTTCCTCCTCCTCCGCAGCCCCATCCTAGCCTAGATGAGCTGCATCGCAGACGGAAAGAAATAATGGCCCAGCTAGAGGAAAGAAAGGTCATTTCTCCACCTCCTTTTGCACCATCACCAACATTACCTCCTACCTTCCATCAGGAGGAAGTAAGTACTTCATTTTTTGTCTCATTTAAGTTTTTTTCTTTATATCGGTGGGTTGTTATATACTGTTTAAGTAATCTTTGCCAATTCCCAAGGTTATGAAGATATTTTCGTGTTTTTTTCCTAAAGGTGTTATTGTTTATTCACATTTGGGTCTACTGTTCATCTAGATTTTATTTTTATATATAGTGTATTAGTAGTCAAGATCTATTTTTCTTCCCAAAGGATTTTATTGATCCAGCACCATTTAATGAAAACACCATCCTTTCCCCAATGCCTAACAGTCACCTTTATCATAGTCAGGTGACTATATATATATATTTTTGGACTCTTTTCTGTTTCATTGGTATTTTTCTCTATCCTTGTACCAGTTCCACATTGTCTTAGTAATTTTATAATGTGTGTTGATATGTGGTGTGGTGTGTGTTTTCCTATATGTCTCCTTTCAAGATTACGTTTGCTGTTCTTGATATTTGGAATTTCCAAACACATTTTAGATTCAGTATGTTGATTTCTACAAAAATATCTGCTGTAATTTTTATTAGCATTGTACTGAATTCTGAATCTGTGCTTACTCAGTATGATAACCACTAGTCAGTCATGTGGCTGTTGAGCACTTTAAAATGTGACTTGTGTGAATTTAGGTGCACGCTAATATTAAATATGTACTAGATCTGAAGATTTACTATCCCCCAAAAGAAAACCATTTCACTAATATTTTTCTATTAATTACATGTTGAAATGATAATACTTTGTATGTATTAGATTAATAATACCTATTGTTGAAATTAATTTCAGATGTTTATATTTTTTAATGTGATTGTCTGAATTTTTTATTTTGTAAGGGAATAGTCTTCCTTTAAGAATTTCACTTTTTTGTTTGCTAGGAGTCCCTCAAGCAATCTGGTAGAAGCTCATGAGCTCTTCTCAGAATAATGATTTTTTTTTTTTTCTTAAAATGTATTTATTTATGCATACAAGAACTGCTGAGGTACAAGCCAGAGGTGTTTGTGTGTGTGTGTGGGGGTGGGGATTTGCCAGAGACAAAGTGGGGAACAGAACAGGCAGATTGACTGAAATACACTGCTGAGGGGAGCAGCAGGCGAGTCAGGGGAGGTCTGCTGTGCCATGTGGGTCATCTCCCTGGCCAGGGATGGAACTCATGCTACAGTGGCTGTGGATAGCTTCATAGTGCTGCATCTCAACCCCTTGCGCCACCAGGGAGGCCCTCAGAATAATGATTTTAAATGTACAAAATACATGTGATTACAGCAGAAGTAAATATTATTGAGCAAGTGATCAAAATAAAACTATATTGATGATGTAGTAACATATAACCTTAGTTCTATTATTGCATTAACAAGATAATCTGTTAGCCAAATTAAGGTTGTTATTTTTTTCTTATCTCAGAACTCAGCCCCAGCCTTCAATCCCATACAGTATTTGTTGTTAAGATTTCATTTAATTTTAATTTTGGGGGTTACATTATTGCTCCTAGGTATGTGCACATCTTCCATTCACCCTTCATCAAACCTCCTAGGCCTATACCCCATTTGCCTCCCTTCCCCTTCTTTCCTCAGTTCCCTTTGGTAACCTATTATATTCTTTCACTGAATTCAAGATTTATTCCTACTGTACTTTGCCTGTGTATATTTTTTTGTTTATAGTCCACATAATACCTGTTTTTTACTTTTGGGCTAATTTTACTTAACATAATCATTTCAAGGTCCATCCATTTTGTCCCAAATGCCACTATGTTATCTTTGTTCACAGTTAGGAAGGATGGTGTTAAAGTTGATTCAAAGAATAGGAGAGACAAGCTATATATAGGTAGTGAAAGTCAGTGGAAAAAACCCATAGCACTGAGGTAAAGTTGTTTGGAAAATCTGACTAATATACTACAAGGCAGTTTAATTATAATGGCAGGTGAGGGGGTAATCTTTGCATTTCTACAAGATAATACTAATTATCATGAATGAATGTTTTGATGTCTGTGGGGTCAGTCTGTAGTGTTCATTTTTCCATTTCTGTCATAGTAATATTTTTTTTCTTGGTCAGTCTTGCTAGAGATTTATCAATTTTGTCTTTTTAAAAAGTCAGTTTTTGCTCTGTTGATCTTTATTTTGAATTGTTAATTGTTCATACCCCTTCAGCTATAATTATGCATATATATTTTTTAAAGATTTATTTTTTTATGCCTATAAGAACTGGGGTATAGGCCAGAGATGCTGGGGGGTGAGAGGATTCACCAGAGACAGAGTGGGGAGCAGCACAGGCAGATCTACTGAAATACAGTGCTGAGGGGAGCAGCCGGCGAGACAGGAGAGGTCTGCTGCGCTGTGTGGGTTAGCTCCCTGGCCTGGGATCTAACTCATGCTTCAGTGACTGCAGATAGCTTCATAATGCTGAAATTTAATCCCTTGGGCCTCCAGGAAGGCACTGGACTGTTACGATTTTAGTAAAAATACAGTAGACCTAGACTAGCTATTTGTCTGTTATATAATTTAAAAACTCATCCTGAGAAAAGAACATTACATATCTTATCCTTTTCATTTCATTGGATCAGTCTGAGGAGCAAAAGTTATTTCAAGATACGAATTATTGCTAGTAAAGAGATTTCACTAGAAAAGTTTATATATGTACAATAAAGAACATTTAGAATTAACTTTAGTTTTTAATACTCATGTTTGCCAGGAATGTTACTGAAAGAAACATAGTTAACTATAAAAATATGACCTGTTACATATTTAAGTGTTGACTTTATCTTGTGAAGAAGAGGAGGGGAAACATACAAAAAATTCTAGCTTCATTCCTTGAAAGATACTGAGATACTTCTTTTTAATCCTTTTGTTAACAAAGCATAAAGGTTAAACATCATCCTTGTTTTATATTTTTCATAACCTACAAAAATCTGCTTATGACAGAAAACCATCAGGTTGTTTCAGCATGATGTTCTAAGAAATTCATTGTCTTGTTACTCATAAAACCATTTTTTATTTTGTTTCCCTTTTTTTCCCCATCTGTAGTTTTTGGATGAAGACTTGAAGGTAGCTGGAAAATACAAAGGAAATGATTATAGCCAGTACTCCCCTTGGTCATGTGACACCATCGGCTCCTACATTGGAACCAAAGATGCAAAACCCAAAGATGTTGTGGCGGCAGGGAGTGTGGAAATGATGGTAGGTATAATAACTTAGCCAAATTATTTTTTTAATTTAGAAATAAAAATCTTAATACTTACCTAAACAAAGAAAAACAGATGTTTCTGTGGAGCCAGTATTTACCCAACAATTGTGTAAAACAAAATTAAATGATTTTACATAATTAATCAAGATCTTGAATTTCTTCTCCAAAAAAAGTATAGGTCTTACAACTCTGAAGTTTTTTTTTTTTTTTTAAAGATTTATTTTTATTTATTTATTTATTTTTTGTTTTATTTATTTATTTATTTATTTATACAAGCACTGGGTACAGTCAGAAGCGCGGGAGGGTGAGAGAATTCACCAGAGACAGAGCGGGGAGCAGAGCAGGCAGAAGGACCGAAGCACACTGCTGAGGGGAGCAGCGGGCGGCAGGAGAGGTCTGCGCGCCATGTGGGACCCTCCTCTGGTGGCCGGGGAGCAGCCGGGGATCGAACCGGTGCTGCAGAGGCCGCAGGCAGCTTCGCAACCCAGCGCTCAACCGCTGAGCCACAGGGGAGGCCCACAACTCTGAAGTTTAAACAACTAAGTTGAATCTAGTGAACAACAGTAGTGCTTGAGCCAGAATTACTTCTTAGTTTCAAGTGGGCTGTGGTATACTGAAATGCATTATGCTTATGCTGTTTTGTTTTTTAACAAAATATAATGTAGTATCAGTTTATCTAAATACCCAAACGTAAAATATATCACTCTTTAATCTTCATGCTTCGTTAGTTTTGTTCTTTTATTTTTTTTTTAATTTATTTATACAAGAATCAGGATACAGGCCAGATGTGCAGGAGGGTGAGAGGATTCACCAAAGACAGGAGAGGTCTGCTCACCATGTGGGTATCTCCACGGCCGGCAGGGATCAAACTGGCACTGCAGAGGCTGAGGACAGCTTCACAGCGCTGCACTCAACTGCCTGTACCACCAGGGAGGCCCAGTTCTCGTTCTTTCAAAACTTTTTAAAAAGTACATTTGTTTATAGCATTGATGTACAATATGTATGTTTCAGGGGCATAGATTCGCACTTCTGCAAGTGTGTGTACATACATCGTGTGTACCATCAAAATACAAAAAATCTGGGCTTCCCCTGTTGGCGCAGTGGTTGAGTGCTGGATTGTGAAGCTGCCCGCAGTGTCTGCAGTGACGGTTGGATCCCTCACCACAGGCGAGGGTCCCACGCAGTGTGACAGACCTCTCCTGCCGAGCCTGCTGCTCCCCTCTCAGCAGTGTATTTCGTCAGTCTGCCTGTTCTGTTCCCCACTCTCGCTCTGGTGAATTCTCTCACTCTCCTGCACTTCTGACTGTACCCAGTGCTTCTATAAATAAATAAATCTTTAAAAAAACACACACATACAAAAAATCTCTTTTATTTAAAAAATCTCTTTTTTTAAAGAAATAAAACTCCAGAAGTAATTAAATAGTCCTATATATTACCTCCCTAATTTCATTTTATTCCCAACCTCTTTTACTAGAGATATTCTCTATCCTGAATTGAGAGTTTACCATTATCATGGATTTTATACTATTACTAAACAATTTTGTTTGCATGTTTTTATACCTTAAATGTATTTAAACTTGTATTTTTATACATTCTTATTTTTGAAAGCTATACACATTTATATCTGTAGTCAAGTTAATTCATTTTAGCTGCTTTTAGCAGATGCCATTGTATGATAACTGATATCATGCAATAAATATATATATAAAAGATTACTTTTCCTGTTGATGGACATTTTTGGTCCTTTACTGTTATGCACAGTACTACAGTGAACATTTATTCTTATGTGTATGTCTCCTTGAGCACATGCATGAAAGTTATGATTAGTGGTGATATTGTGTTTAAAGGTAAGACCAGGGGCCTCCCTAGTGGCACAAGGGGTTAAGACACAACCTATGAAGCTATCTGCAGCCACTGCAGCGTACGTTTGATCTCTGGCCAGGGAGGTGACCCACATGGCGAAGCATAACTCTCCTGTCTGGCCCGCTACTCCCCTCAGCAGTATGTTTCTGTCAATCTGCCTGTTCTGTTCCCCACTTTGTCTCTGGTGAATCCTCTCACCCCCACCTCCCCTCACACACACCTCTGGCCTGTACCCCAGGTCTTACATGCATAAATGAATAAATCTATAAAAAAAAAATAAAAGTTAAGACCATTTGCCCTTATTAACTCTTACGGAGGTTCCCTAATTTTTATGTGCACACACACATACACACACATGTTTTACCAATTTGGGTAACAGAAAAAGATGATTTGGATGCTCACAAATAAATGAAGTGGTAATGCAGCATAAATATGCTTAGATGTCAACTAAAAGAGAGAGAGGAAGAAAGATACAGAGGAGAAGGAAAAGGCAAGCCAATCTTTTTTATGGTAGTATTAGAGAAACATCACAACAAATATTAGCAAAATAAAAGTTATTCCCTTATGTCAGTAAATAATAAAAATGTTTGCTAACCTAACCTAGATATAATTGGAAATCTCCTAAATGAGTGATTGGAATCTAGCCCAGTGTTTCTCAAAAGGTAATGTACATCTAAATTACCTAGGGGTCTGGGCCTCCTTGGTGGCACAGGGGTTAAAGTCTCAGCACTATCAAGCTATCTCCAGCTACTGCAACATAAGTGTGATCCTGGCCAGGGAGATAACCCACAAATGGCACAGCAGACTGTCCTGTGTCCCTCATTGGTCCCCTCAGCAGTGTATTTCAGTAGATCTACCTCTTTTGCTCCCCACTCTCTTTGGTGAATCCTCCTCCCCAACCCCCCACTTCCACACACACACACACACCTCTGCCCTCCTCCACACACACACACACACCCCTCCTCTGCCCTCCACCCCAGATCTTGAATGTATAAATAAATAAAATGAATTGCTCTAAAAAATACAAATTACCTAGGGATCTTTTAAAATGCTAGATCTAATTTAGTAAGACTAGGATTGGAAATGAGATTCTACATTCCTGGTAAGTTCCAAAACGATTCTTAGACTACTGGTTCTTGGAATATACTTTTAAGTATCAAGGCTCTAGCAACTAGATTTCTGATTAGATTTTCATTTATATTTATCTTGATATGTGTTTGTTTCTGATAGGAATCACTTTGAACAATCTGTTGATCTTTACATTTTTAAACAGTTTTCTAACTAGTGAGTTTTGAAATTGTGCGACTCATGACAAGCCTATTTTCAAAGAAATGAATTAGAATAACATAGAATTTAAATTTAAGAATGTATTTCACATAGTGGGGGGGTAAATATTTGTCATGAATTTTTATAGGTATATACTGGGTTATTATGCAAAATATATTTCTTATAATGAAGGGTGATCGGAAGATTAAAAGTAATGTTTTATATGACACCTAAAGGCAAATTAAGAATTTTAGTTTTACCAATAAGAATATGATACTCTTTCTTAGCCTTATTACAGAACTAGAGAAAATTATGTTAGAGATCTAAGTTTGGAGTGGATTTCTAATTTTACTTTTTATCAGAATGTGGAAAGTAAGGGAATGAGAGACCAACGACTGGATCTTCAGAGAAGAGCAGCAGAAACCAGTGATGATGACCTCATCCCATTTGGAGATCGACCAACAGTATCTCGGTTTGGTGCCATCTCTCGAACTTCCAAAACAATCTATCAGGGTGCTGGCCCAGTGCAAGCCATAGCACCTCAGGGAGCGCCCACAAAATCTATTAACATTTCAGGTAAGTATCTCAGAGGTAGATACTTCTAGAGGCCTCATATCCATGACTCTCAGAACCACCCCTTCACACAGTTTGTTGTTATTGCTTTCTGTAATCTTCCAGAGTTTATAATCTTTAAACTTCTCTAGGGAATTATTGTTGTAAAAAGGTAATTATAACCCAGGAAATTGTAGGGATGGATAGAAGCTAAAATTCAAATGTCTGTATGTGAAACAGCTTTTGTTTCTCTTTTTTATAAATAGGTTTATTTTATTAAAATAGTATATTTTTATTTTTAAAATTTTCAGACAAAATAAGACTGATGTTTCAGTGGGGGAATAAAAACATCAACACCCTCTTACCATTTTGGTTGACATCTTTTTAGATAACTGTGTACACAGTGTGCCTATGCCTCTTAGATTACAGGTGCCTTAAAAGAAGAATTACATCTTCTGTAAATCTGTGAATTATATCATGCCATGGTAAATTACTGTCTTACAGATTATAGTCCATATGGAACCCATGGTGGCTGGGGAGGCTCTCCATATTCACCTCATCAAAACATACCTTCTCAGGGACACTTCAGTGAGAGGTATGAGTCATTCTTTTTACTTAAACAAACCTTTAAAAATTATTTAGTTTTTCTTGTTTTTTTCTGGTAAATATTTTAAAATATAAAAATTTAAATTTATTCCATGTTTTCTTCCCCACCCAAGGGAGAGAATATCCATATCAGAAGTGGCCAGTCATGGAAAACCCCTCCCATCTGCTGAGAGGGAACAGCTACGACTAGAATTGCAGCAACTAAATCATCAAATTAGCCAACAGACCCAGTTACGTGGGCTAGAGGTATCAGCTTATAGCAATTTTTTCATTCCTATTTTGTGAGGGTTCTCAAATTTTACTATTTTTTAAAAATATTTATTTTTATACAAGAACTGGGGTACAGGTCAGAGGCATGGGAGGGTCAGAGGATTCACCAGAGACAGAGTGGGGAGCAGAACAGGCAGACGGACTGAAAGCACTGCTGAGGGGAGCAGCGGGCGAGACAGGAGAGGTCTGCCATGCCATGTGGGAATCTCCCTGACCGGCCAGGAATTGAACCCGTGCTGCAGAGGCTGCGGACAATTTCATAGAGCAGCGCTCACCCCACTGTGCCACTGGGGAGGCTCTCAAAGAGATTTTAAAGAGAGAAACTTAGGAACTATGAACACAATGGTCTTTCTTAGGAATTAGTATAGGTGTCCATTCTTCAAGAAAGAATGAAACTTTAAGTACTAAAATTCAGTTTTGAGAATAGAAAACTGATTAAAATTCCCCTGCTGGAGGTAATATTTTCTAATGGTGCATTTAAGTTTTAGGGGTACAGTTTTTAATGAACAAATGCTTGGAGTTTAAGATTTTATAGAAATTTTGCTTATTTCTTTTTTATAATTTAAAAATACTTCTCTTATTTGCTTTAATCCTCAGCATTTTATAAATTTTTAAAAAGTAGACGCTTAAAACTTTGGAAAAAAAGCTTATGTATACTAATTCCTTTCATTAATATAGTTCTTTCATTTTATAAATTACTATCGTATATATTATTTGACATACCTACGCTCTCCCCTCCATCCCCCTTATTTGAACCAATGTAACTGACAGGTAGCTTAGACTGGTACTGCTGCCACATAAGGAAAGCTAGATATGTTCATATTATCCTTTACATGGAACCTATTCTTTGAATATGGAAAACTGCAGCTATTGCAGCTGCTCCCTTTTGGAGAGAAAGATACTGTTAGAATGTTAGCTTTTACCAAGATGATTAGGAAGGCATTACTTTGGAGGAAAAAGATCTTACTTGTACTTATATTTTTATTAGGAAGACCAATCAGTATGACATTGTTTTCTGTAATACGTCTGGCCTAATCAGTAAGGTTTAAAAAATTTTAAATCCATGTAATACAGTCACTCATATTTTGTTTCCTTTATTTGCACTGGTCCAAAACTTCTTGATGATTCCTCTTGTATGTCCATCTTTAGTTCATTAACTTTTGAAAATTCTGGACTTTAACTCCATAAAGCATTGTACCTTAATTGCTAATTCATGAATTTTCATCTTGGTTGAAATTTCTAGACATGTTTTCTATCCTAGAAGAGTATCAGCATCATTTATTTGGAAGCTTGCTATAGATTTAACTCATTGTGGTTTAAGTCCTTGCCATTACAGAGGTTTCATTGAAATAAATTACAGATTTTACTTCAGAGTACAATAAAGCAACATGGGGAAAGATCCACATTTATAATTGACTTCTCTTTTAAATAAGAAAAAAATAAGAGTGTGCTATATCTAAGAGTAAATTACTATTCAATAAGTTTAAATCTTGTATATTTTTCTTTTATTATTCAAGTGATACTTAGTGCTTTATAATTGCTTTTTTGTTTTGTTTTGTTTTGTTTTTACAAATACCTGAGTGATAAGCTTATTAAGACTGTGGTCTGGAATTGGAACAGGTCTACCTCTGCATGGTGTGAACTGTGTTGAGTTGTATATGTGCTTGGCTTTATGCACTAGGCTGTTAGTAATAGACTGGTGTTGCAGAGGGAGGCAAACACCTTGGCAAGCCAGCCACAGCCCCCACCACCACCTCCAAAATGGCCTGGAATGATCTCAAGTGAGCAGTTGAGCTTGGAACTACATCAGGTGGAAAGGGAAATCGGGAAGAGAACCCGTGAACTGAGTATGGTGAGTGTTATGGTGGGAAAAGAAAAGGAAAACTTCTGTGTAGATATGTCATGAAACGCATCATTCTAGAATTCTAGAATCACATAAGGCTCTCCAGTGAGTTGAGTGATTCTCATTTTCATGAAGATAAGCTATCATCTTGTTTTATTATTTTATATAAGACCAGTGCTCAAAGAATTGACCCATTCCACCCACTTTGTTTTATTATTTTATTGTAATTACTCCATTCCATTTTGGCTTGAGTGTATGTCTTAGAATTCTGCATTGCACAATTACAAAAATCTTATAGGGAAAACAGATAGTCAGAAGTCATTAAATTTATATTAAACATACTGGAAATGCAGAAAAGATGATTTTGTGATAAATACCATCATGTTCTGTAAAGATGTTACCAAATAACATTATCGTTTTCATAGCCCTTAAGCTGATGACTTATTTTTTGTTTTGAATGAGAAGCAAACCATCCGTTGTTTCCTTTGGAATTGTATTGATAGATAAGCTTAGGGTTTGCTTCATAATGGATGAACATTCATGTCAATACATTTGAATCTTAGAGGGTTGAGTCATTCCCTCATCCCACCCTCAGATGCATGGTGGTTGACTTTTCCGTCAGTTTCACGTTCTTTCTACCAAATAGATAGGATATTTAGTTTTCCTGCTTTCAATAAGTATAGTTATTATGTAATTAATAATTATTATATTTTAGTAATTAAATTTATATCAAACATACTTATATTGTTATAAATATTTATAAATGTTTATAAATAATTATTTTTTTTGAATTTTTTTAAGGTTTATTTTATTTATTAATTGATTGATTTATACAAGCACTGGGTACAGTCAGAAGCACGGGAGGGTGAGAGAATTCACCAGAGTCAGAGCAGGGAGCAGAGCAGGCAGTAGGACCGAAGTACACTGCTGAGGGGAGTAGCGGGCAGCAGGAGAGGTCTGCGCGCCATGTGGGACCCTCCTCCGGTGTCCGGGGAGCAGCCGGGGATCGAACCGGCGCTGCAGAGGCTGCGGGCAGCTTCGCAACCCAGCGCTCGACTGCTGCGCAACCGGGGAGGCCCTAAATAATTATATTTTAACTTTTCTAAATCATCAGGGTTTTTTCTGTGAAATTTTTCCATGTTTTCCATGTTCTGTGTTTTCTGTGAAATTTTTATCATTTCTAGATTATCCATGATTTACAGATTATCCTTTTTTTAAAAAAAAAGATTGGTTTTATTTATGCATCCAAGAACTGGGGTATAGACCGGATATATTGGGGAGGGGGAATGAGAGGATTCACCAGAGACAGAGTGGGGAGCAGAGCAGGTGGACTGAATGAAATTCACTGCTAAGGGGAGCAGCAGGCAAGACAGGAGAGGTCTGCTGCGCCATGTGGGTTAGCTCCCTGGCCGGGGATTGAACTTGTGCTGCTGTGGCTGCCAATAGCTCATTGTGCTGAGACTTAGTCCCTTGTGCCACCAGGGAGGCTCTAGTCATTATTTTGTATTATCTACCTTTGATCTCTCTTCCACCAGCACCATTAAGTAGAAGATAATTGCATTAATTCCTTTTGTTTCAAAGGAGAACCAGTGTTCTCTGGATATGAAAAGCAAATTGAATACAAGTAAGCAAGCAGAAAATGGACAACCAGAACCACAAAATAAGGTTCCACCTGAGGACCTTACATTCAGGTAAATAATGTCTTTCATAGTCTTATATATTCTAGTCATGACAAAAATATATATATGATTTGCATTTAAAAATGTCATTCTGAATGCATTGAGATGTGAATATTTCTGTATAAATTAAGGAGTTATAAACCTTATTTTAGAATAGATTCAAGGTTGAATCTGTTAACAATGAAGTTTTGTGGTTCCATTTGCTTCCCTGGTTTTTAAACTTACTTAAAACAAATGTTAACCTTTGAATGCATACCTTTCCATTTATTTAAAAGTGGGCATTTAGCCTCTTTCAGATCTACCCACTACTCTGTCCCCTGGTTTTCAATTAGTTTGTACCATATTAACTAATATTTTATGTGTGTGAGAAGGAAACAGATCAGCTGCTATAAATAACCTTACCATAAACAATATTGCAGTTAGTCCTTTGTTTGTACTTCTTTATTTTCTTGGGGTATTTTGAGACTGATGCATAGCTGCGAGTTGTCATCCTGGTTATAAATAATCATTTCTAATACCCTGTTGCTTCAGACATAACTTTTGATTGTTAATCCATGTACTGTCCAGGATTCAAAATTGCTTTTTATACTAGTAAAACTGCTCAAGCAGGAGTCAATACTTTTTCTTAAAAGCCAGTTGTATTTTAAATTATGGGTCTTACAGTCTCTGTTGAAAATCTCAATTCTGTTATTGTAGTGTGAAAGTTGCCATAAGCAATATGTAAATAATGAGGATGGCTGTGTTTCAGTAAAACTATTTGCAAAAAATAGGAAGTTCACCAGCCTTAATTTGCCAGCCTCTGTGCTAGCACATGGGGGTAGGGTTCTAAATTAAAGTTTGAAAGCCATTCACATATTTTTCCACACTGCTAAAAGACAGGCCATGCCCATTTTTTCTACTGAATAATCATTTTTCATCTCTCTCCTTTTGAAAAAATCTAACTTTTTTTTTTTATGTTAACAGTGATATGCCGAATGGATCAGCTTTGACACAAGAGAATATCAGCCTCTTATCAAACAAGACCAGTTCTCTGAACCTGTCAGAGGACCCTGAGGGAGGAGGGGACAACAATGACTCTCAGAGATCAGGAGTTACACCCAGTTCTGCCCCCTAAAGTAGGAAGAATTCTACGTTTACCTTTTGCCCGTAATCAATTTGTGGGGCATAGGGGTAGGAGAACGGATAACTTCTGAACGTTTTTCTCTGAGAATGATCAGAGAAATCCAGGAAAAGCACCCGGAGGCAATGTGCACAAACACCACTACTAAAAACAAACCCTGCACATAGTTCATATTAATGCATTTTTTAATTTAAAAAAGGAAAGAAAAAGAAAATTAGCAGTATCTGCAAGCAATTCAGATTAAATTTGTTTTTGTTCTGTGAATGAACTTTATTTTAATAACTTTGGACGCCTTGGATCCAGGGCTTTAAAAAAAAAAAAGATATTATATATACACTCTGTTTGATTAATTGTATGATCTTAATGAAGTAGGTTTTTCTTGTATTTTGGTATTATTACATACCCAGTGTATAATTCCTTACCCTAAACCTTTCCAACTCTCACAACCCTTTAAATTAAAATAGACAAAAAGCACCAGTCTTTCTGGAAATTCTATGGTGCTTGAGAAACAGATACAGTAATAGACTAGTTATTAGAAAATGTGCAGCAAACCAATCTTTCTGAGACTGTGGAAGCCATAAATTTTTTTCCACCTTTCTGGATCACTAGTTTCATGTGTAGGCATGTTTTTCTTATGACACTAATAAAAATTTTGTTTTTATTTTCAATTTCTCAGAGAGGCAATTACCAATTTTTGAAGTTCTTATTTCCATATTATGGATCCTTTTTCTTTTTCAATGTAATCAGAAAGCTGGATCGATGTTTGGATTGTTTAATTGTATTTAAATGGACTTTTAAGAATGAACTGTGATATATAAGCACTGAAAATACATGGTTGATGTATTATCTATATTGAACTGATAGTTGGAAATTTGGAGCTATGCTTTTTGAAACTAAAAACTTTTGTTGAAATCATAAACCTTTAAAAATTAGGATAATCAACCATGTTTTAAAGCTGCAACAGTTTACTTGAACTTAAAATGAAGAAAGAGCCGTATTATTTCAGTGGATAAGTTTTTTCTCTCAGAACTCAAACATAAAATTTATAAGCTGGAGCCCCTAACTTTGACAGAGATATGGTAACTATGAACTGTCTGGATCTTTAAGGGCAGTTTACAAATTAATCAGTTAACTGCCATTCAAAATCACTAGCACATATATAGCAAGTACCTAGAAGTCACTTTTGATAGACTGAGCTTTACAATACTGAAAACATTATGAAAATGTCAAAAAGATAAGGATGAATTTTTATTATTTAGTTCTGCTGCACATATTCTGATGCCACGTGTCTATTCTGAACTAAGACCCTATTAAAAATGTTTAGTGGGGATTATTTGGTGTAGTCACCCTCCCATCCCTCTGTTGCCTGATTTTTAAGAAATTTTCCCTTTCTGGAGTATACTACTAATTCAGAAAGCACTGGTTATGTAATAAGTTACTGCATTGCTTTGGTTGGGTAAAAGCAAGAATTTATGTTTTCTTGTTTCTTATTTTCTTAACCCTTAACTCCTGCTGAGGTCATAACAACCTCATTCTAAGCTCAGTGTCCATCATACTGTTAACTGAAACAAATGGGGGGAGGGGGGGTAATACAGTCCTGCCATTGCCTACCAGTAGGAGAGTCCAAACAGAACACTCTTTTGAGTAGCGATTATTTAATTTGCCCAGTCAAGGCACCGTGTTTATATACTATTTCACATTGAATTTGATTATGCCCTACAGACCTGGCTGGTCAAGGATTTGATATACACATATTGGCTTGGGATTCGAGCTTTCTTTTTTATTTAAATAAAAATTTATATATATTATATATATACAGATATACATAGCTATATCTGTATATATATTGGGTATGTTTTAAGGATTTTTTCGCATGAGTGCAGCTGTTGCCATAAAATGACTGATTGGGAGGTAGAAGCACTGAATGAAGATGAGGCATTTTTTTCAGTTGATAATTTTTTCTTTTCACATTTTTTTTGAAAAAATACACTTGCTTTTTTGCCTTTTTCTTTTTTGCTTAAAACCCTTTTACATTTATTATTTAAGTGTTTATTATTTTGTGGGAGAAGGAGAGAAACTTTCATATGTCTGAGAGTCCCAAGATGTTTTATTTTTCCATAAACCATTAAAGGCAACACTCCTGCCCCTTTTATAGGCAGATTTAGGCAGACCTTATTTCTCCTTTGGACAAGTAAGATAATTCTTCAATTTTAGAAGCAGTTACTTCAGTTTGGAATTCAAGGGAATTTATGGGTATTGATTTTGTTGAAGTTCAGAATAAAAGTAAAATTTCATTTGAGTATATTGAAACCCCCAATACCTGAACTTCTGTTATTCTTTTCTTTGAAATAGTCTCATTCTTGCCTTCACCATTTTAATTTTGTGAGCTAGACAGGAACAGGGATTAATTTATACAGTATCCCTATTCTGAGTTAAACCAGAAAAGCCATTGTGAGTTGATCAAAATCGTTTCTTTCACCATTTAAGGTATTTTCAATTAAGGGGGATAAAACTCTTAAATTGTAGCCTTAATTCTAGCTGTACTTCTCTTAAAAGAGATCTGGATGGGTAGAAAAGCAGAAGAATGGTATACTCTTCCATTGTGCCTATAACTACCTATCTTAAATTGGTCATTTTGCCTTACCTCATGGAAATCCTTACAACTTCCCCTAGTGCTCACCAGCAGTTTTAGGAATTCAATAAAACCTCCAGAGGTGGGGGGAGGGGAGTGTGGTTTTTTTTTTTTTTTTCTGTGATATGATTTGTAATGTGATGGGCCTATAAGGGTAAATAACATGTTTGGGCAAAACTTCTTGACTCTTTAATTCTTCAAAATTTGTGAAAAACATTGATTTTTCTGGCTTTTAAATTGTATCCCTTTAAGAGATAAGAGATGAAACTAATCAGATAGGAAATACGATTTTTTTTTTTAATTTTTTTGCTTTCTACTTATTAAAGTATTTCTTCTGAAGATAACTTTGTTTTTCACTGAATTCAAAAGCAAGACTTGGACATCTCAGATGAACATGACAGTTCTGAAAAGGTTTAGGGTAGGAGTAATAAACATTATATTCACTCTTGTTTACATAACATCACCAGGATTTTGTTATAGCCAGGAATATATAAACACTTTGACTTACTCTTTTTTCAAGATCTCTGGAAAAGGAGAACTGAGAATAAGACTCTAGATTCAACTTTTTGATTTATGTAGTTCTTTTGCCTTACTTATAGATACTGTCACAAAATAAGTACAATAGCTACCCTATCTTGGGTAATTTACAGAAGCTAAAGTGACCAAAGATGCATTCCTTGTTACTTTTTTAGTTAAAAGAAGTTAATTATAGCCTAAGTTTCTAGTAGTAGTATTCAAATGATGGACATTATAATGCCAGCTTCAAATAGTCAGCTACTCAGCGTCTATAAAAGTGTATTTGGTATAGCATTAATGTGGCTGATTCCTTTCTCCCATCTTATTTCCCTTCCCCTCTCCTAGTCTTCCCTATATATTTATTCTTTTGCTTAAAGGACATGAAATTGGTATGATTCTCATTTACCACCCTACATAGGTAACCCCATCAGAATGTCCATAGGTCTTTAGAGTTGGAGCGCAAAGTTTTGTTTCCTGGTCCTTTTCTATCTTGCAAATTCCCCTTTTGACTCACCCATTGCCCTCCCCAATCTGCAACAGTGACAGTTTGCTGCCTCAAAACAGAGCATTCAAATGAATTCGCTTAGCCAATAACTTCTATGAAGTTGCCTTTTCTAATGGTGTTATTACTCAGTGATGCACAAATGTGGTATTTGCCCTACTGGTAGGCAAACAAAGGTCTGGTTAAGAATGGTAACCTGCTGTTTTCTTTAAAGGAGAGCCAAAGACTTGTGCTTTACTCTGTTTTGGTTTGGGGGGGAAGTAGTGTCCACTTCGATTGAGAAACCTTTTTGTATTTGTGAGTTGATGTACTATGTAGGTAGATTTATCTAAAGTTAACTGTAACAGTTAGCTGGCCTTATAAAATGTAAAAGTAATGAAAATTCATTTTCTCTAAAGCAGTGAATGTCATTTTTTATAATTCTATGAAAAGTTCTTCCTCCCCTTTTTTCTGGAGATACCGTGTATATTTGTTTTTTAACTTGTGCCTAAAGGACAGTCTACCTATTGTCAAGCCATAGGACTTTAGTAGAATTCATGAGCATGTGACTGGTGAGAAACAATTAGAGTTTTGTGAGTACATGTTAGATTATAACAAATTTGGGGGGAAAAATAGACTATTTTCCCTGAAGAGAATTGGGTTCCTATTACTTACATATAAAATGTTGATGAATGGAAGTCTTAACATCTGTTTTCTACTTTCTTTTTGTTCATCTTAAAGAATTAACTAAAGGTTTCAAATATTAAATCTGTCTGTAAACAAAGTACCTGGAATGATATTTAAAAGAAAAGCTCAATTACTTTTTAGGAGAAATTAATAATCTGCCTGGGAATTAACTGCAGTGTTTAGATTTTTCCCTTTAAAGAATCCAACTGTATTTATATTTTTGGATGGTTATAGTGTTGCAAGAGATTCTCTTCCCTGAAAAATGTGCCCATCCTTTCAGATAAAAATTAGAGCTACTAAACTGAAGCAGATTTCACTTTCAACATTAGGGATTAAAGAAGAAAGCAATCTACTGTCACTTTACCTGAGTGCCCATTCTGCTGGTCCACATTCATACCTTTCTACCTTGGACAGCTTTGGCTTTTATATTTATTTGTTGCTTCAATTCAGCTTTAAGAAATTTTCCTGCTGACATAACTTATTGGAATGTTTAGGTGGATTGCAGTTAAAATATATATATATTTTTTTTTTAAATTCTTAATTCAGTTTTTCTGAGCCACTTGGGGGGGGAAAAACCTTTTTGTCAAAGTTACTATTGATCGTAGTAAATAAGATTTGGTTTTTAAGATTTTATTTGACTGCTAAAGATATTTTCACATATAATAGATTCTAACTGATATATAATACTAGCGATAGTGTTAATAAAGAATAGGAAGCTGCTACCATCAGGAAGAAGTAATGCTTTTTAATAATAAATGTGTTCCCAATAGGTGGATTTTCAATACTGCACTGAACAAAGTGGGTACAGAGCCCTTAATAATCCTGTTGTGATAAAGGGACTTACCTCACACTGGAATCCTTGTTTTCAGAAACTCTTGATTTTTCAGCCAAACACTGAATTTTCCTAAACTGTATTACTGAGCAAAAATCCCTAGAATAGTAACCTTTATTTTCACAAGAAAATATGGCACAGTTACCTAAGAGAGAAAACCGAAAATAAACCTCAAGACAATATTGTATCCAAAATGTGTATTTAGAAAAATAAAATCCTGTGGAGTTGTTATTCTAATGTATATTATATACTAGATAAGGTGACTTGTTTTCCTGTATTAAGGTCTCACTGTTTATGGTTATTTTGTTTTATTTTTAAATGCTAAGTAGACAGAGCTCACAAGTCTTTGGCATCCCTTCTAGGTTGTACACTTAGAGTCATCTTATAACTGGAAACTGTCAGGTGGCCCCTCACCCCTATCCCAGCTGGTAAATGAAAGGGTCAAGAAAAGGATGGAAACAAGCTATAGGATGGATTTTTTTTTTTTTGGTCTGATTTTTAAAAATCATTAATTTATGTAATCTGCCTTCACTTGATTGGCTGCCATTCTCACAGTAGCTGAATGACCACATAAAATAATTCTCATTTAAAGGCATTTTAAGATTTTGCTTATTGTTTTTACATCTTCTATTCAACTAAGACACTGTCCTGAGAGCTACTTTTTTTCTCATTTTATTGCCTAAGTTTTCATTATCATTCCCCCTTTCATCCTCTCCTCTTTTTCCCACCTTCTATTAATAAGAATAACATGGAAAAAAATACTTGCTTCATTTTATGCATTGATCTATAACCCTCAGTACCTTACTTTATGATTAACCTATGACTTTTTGGACTAAGAGCATTGAAAAAACTTAAAGATAACGAACAAAACCTTTTACTCACTTAAACATTTTCCAGTTGTGAGATTCCTCTTTGTGTGTGTGGTCTCTTCCTTCCCCTTGTTACCCCTGCTACCCCTTTCCCCTGACTATGGTCAATTTGGTCTTTAGGCTCATAACAGTCTCCCCGAGACATTTCTGCAGTCATTATCACCTTTTTGGGTGGATTTTGTTTTGTTTTGTTTTGTTTTTAAAAAATAACTTTTTAACATTAATGCATATTTGCTTGGGATAGAGCTTGTGTAATTTACCAATCGTATTGATTGTATGTGATTGTGCCCTGCAGAGGTATATTTAACAAGACAAAGATAATCTAGGTTAATAAAGGAGCCCATGAGATTTGAGTCAGGTTATAAATGACTTCATGAAATCATTTGCAGGTTTGGATAGTGAGAATTTTTATCTCCTATTCTTATAAGTCAGTGCTAGACAAAATACCATTTTTTAAAGTTTTCTTGCATTCCTATTTTTTTCCTTGTCTCAGCTCCCTGATTTTTATTGTCTGCTTCTACCTACCTATTCAGAAATAAAAATATTGAGCCTTAGAGTGATAGTTTGTTTTAATTGCTGAAGTTTGTGAAACTTTACTTTTTCTTAGTATTTCCAACTTTAAAATAAAAGTGAAGACTGATAAGTAATGGGTTGGAATTTCACAAGCTGTGAATAATTCCCTAGTATCTGGCAAACTGTGAAATCTTATTTGAAGACTTTATCTCCACAAGGTTCTTCTGGAATAGAAAAAAGAGCTCTTTTTGAAATGGACCGTTTTCTTCTCTTTTTAAATCTATTTATACTTCTAATTTTTAAACAGCCTTTAAAGCAATTGAGTGGGGAAAAAGCAATAGTAGTAGGAAAATGTTTAGGGCAGCAGAACTCAATCTATTGAATAAGTACATATTTCTCTTGTTTCAGGTTTTTGAGAAGATTTAGGGCCATCTTTTTCAACTTTGTATTATTTGTGTGCATGTTGTTTATATCAAAGATGCCACGTTTTCTTAAAAAGCTATTTCCTTTATTACCGTGGAAACTGACTCAGCCTCATGTTGCTCCTAACTAGTGTTTAAAGCTCCCATGAGTTGCAGATAAAAGGATTATTTGAGCAAGTAGGAGGAGGTGTGATTCACCTTTTGGTTTGTAAATATATGAAAGTCTCTACAAGGTCTTTATCTGCTTTCTGTCAGCATTTATATTAAATGATAAATTAATGAGGAGAAGCGTGTAGTCTTTTTTTGTAAATGAATCTGTGCTATCTTATCCTAATCTTGGGGTTAATTCTCTTATACCTTTTAAATGGAGTGTTTGTCATCTTTTAAGTAAAAAATAGAAAAGTAGATAATGTGCACAAGCAAGGAATTTTGCCCAAGCTTAAATACACTACAGTCCAATAAGTTCATTTGTTTTAGAGTGATTGTATGGTAGGAGTAAAGGTAATAAGAGATGCCAGGGTCAGTGTTCAATAAGACTGCCTGGCTAGCATCCAAAATCCTGGTTTTTTGGTTCTCTTAAAACCAGAACTTCTTTATGCTTAAGTGGCATGGTTTTATTCTGGACCCTTATCTGGTACAAAATGTATTTTCTTTCCATTCTTAATTACTGAAATCTCCACCCTTTAGCCACTCATTGCAGTTAGAGGAAAATGTAGGTTTTGTTTTTTCTTAGAGACCACTGTAACTTACCTTAGTTAACAACTCAATGGCATGAAGAAGAAAAAGGTGGGGGGGGGAGGAAACTACTATCAACTAAAAGAAACGTAAGAAATTATAAAAAAAATCAAATGTAGACTTTAGTTGGATCCTAATTCCAAAAACCGAATATATGAAGATATTTTCTACATAATTAGGGAAATCTAAGTATTGGTTATTGGATAATATCAAGAAACGGCTTTTTGGTGTTTGGTGTGATGGTAACAACGTGGTTATATAAGAAAATGTATAACTGACAATGATTGGAGATTTCTTTAAAATAACTAAATATTTCAAAAAGAAAAATACAGTACACATTACCAGTGAAGATTTATATTCCTCTTACCAACAAAAGTTCAGAGGGTGTGGTGACAGAAACCACTACAACTACCCTCAAATGTTATGAAAACCCAGAGTGGTAATTCAAAAACCAGACATGCCATCTTGACCACTTACCTGTCCTGCTAAGTAGCAATGGAGCATTTTTTTTAACCCTTAGATGGAGATTTACAAATGATTGTCAATTTGTTATTTTGTGTGCATTTGTACTTCAATTACAGCAACCAGCTATTTTGCTATGATCCGTTTAAATCCCTCTGCTTTCCAGCATGCTGACTCAGTTAATGACTGCCACTCTTACTTGGAACATCAAGACATCAAAAGTGAACTTTCAACTATTCACAGAGCACCCATTGGTTTTTATTGAGTACTCTGCACAGCACTGTAGATGACAGTTAGAAAATATACTTGCAAGGAGTTTAGACTTCAGTTATGAACCTTGACACATATACAGTTTTAAAATAGTTACCATCCAGAAAGCACTGAACAGAATCACCAAAGGATTATTTCGGACACAGTTGTCCTTAAAACGGAACATGGTGTATACAAACAAGACTTAACCTTGTCTGGCTGTACAGCAAAGATTTTCCTGAGAAAGTTGTATTTTAGGTAAGACATGAATAAAGGCGTGGGGAGTGTTAGAGACAGGAAACCTAGAGAAAGCGGGATGTGAACTCAATGAAAGAAGAACCTTTGTTATGGGAACTGAAAAGTCATTGAGGCTAGAAAAGACCTGTAAGACTAAGACTTGAGATGAGGCAGAACCCCACACCTCAGACGCCTGTAGTGAAATTTTTGGATTTTCCTCTGAAAGTAAAGGGAATTGATGGAAAGACTGTAAACAGGGAAATAAAGGGGTCAGATTTGCGTCTCTTTATTCATTCATTGGACAGTTTTCTGTGAGTGCTTTTCAAACAAAATACACATAGTTCACCTGGGACTCTTGGTGAACTGAATTTACAGTTTTTACCATTCTGGAGATGACCTGACATACTCCTGGGTGATGCCGGTACTATCTGAAGACCACACTAGGGTGTAAGTAAGAGTATTAAGGTTCTATGTGATAGGCAATTTTAGAAACAGATTGGGTTTCTACTTGTCAGACAAATTTTAGTGAAAGTATGAGATGTCAGGCATAATTAGCACTACCTACCTAGAGATTCCTTAAAGGAAAAAGTGGGACTAGAGAAGCAAGGTGATTCTGTTTTGAAAAGTTAATCCTGTAAGGTATAGGAGGATTCACGGAGTGGAGATGCCAGATCAGGGCACACACAGTAGTGTTGGAACTTAAATCAGTTGGGAATAGATAGAAAAATTAAATTGACCCTTTGAATTTTATACTTTGATAATTAAAACCCAGTAAAGATTTTAAGCCACGCAGTGATGTGATTATTGTGGTTTTAAGTGGAATAGGTCTGGGCAGAGGCCCTCATTATGAATCTGTTGTAGAATTACAAGAAATAATGAGGGCGAAAATTACCTTTGCAGTATCAAATCCCTTGGAAATACTCAGGTTTAAGAAAAACAGTAATCTCAGTTTATCACTGTTTTCTTAACCTCCCAAGTCCATAAATGTCCAAGTTGTGATCTACAAGACTCCTAGTTTTCTGCATGTCCCTAAGCTTGTTATCATCATCTAACTGGGTCACCTGTACCCCTGCCACTAGGGGTTCCTGAGGCTGTCAGCCTTTGTAGTAGCACATCTAGGGTGGGGTCGGTCAGGTTGGGATGGAGGGAGCTGTAACTTGGACCAGTGGGAAAGGCCTGGTTACAAGAACTGGATATAAGAAGAGGCCCCCCCTATACCCCTAAAGGAGGACCTGAGTGGCTCCTTTCTACAACTGTCTTCTATGTTAGGAGGAAACACCTGTCCACCTCTCCCTGGGGCCATTGCTAGGATAGCATTCACCAACAGTGCCTGCTCCCTCTAATCAGAGTTTAAAGCACCTAGGCCCTGACAGCATTTTATTCCTGAAGGGGTGAAGGGTCAGAATGTGAAAACCATTAGGAAAAGACACCTGCCATGGTTCTGCTCTGATCCCAATCCCTTCCTAGTGCCACAACCCCCACAAGAGGGAAGCCTGCAAGGGGAACAGTCTTTTATGGAAGCACCAACAGACCCTGAGAAACAGTTCCAAACTGCAGTTCCCAGATCACTGTTCTCACGCATACCTTGGGGGAAATTGCTGGCTGCAGAATCTACAACCAGGGCTGGAGCACAGTTGGGAGGCCAGAACTAGCCTCTCAGGAGGCTTGTTCCTTAGGAGACTTGAACTCTTAGTACTCCCTAGCTGCAACATCTTGGTTCCCCACTGCCTGGCCTTCTACAACCTGCACTAGAGCTCTAGTCATCTAAACAGGTGCAAAGACACTAGTTTATTATAGAGCAACATACACCCCAGGACACCCTGGTCAAACAACCTAGGATTATATTCTGCAACCCATATGTAACTTTAACACATCGTTAAGGAAAAAATACTGTTTAGCTCAACCTATAAAAACTAAAAATGAGGGCCTCCCCTGGTGGCTCAGGTGGTTGAGCGCAGCGCTGTGAAACTGTCTGCAGCCTCTGCAGCGTGGGTTCGATCCCTGCTGGCTAGCTGTGGAAATACCCATTCACAATATGGGAAATACCCATTCATAATACCACATTCATAATATCAAAATACCCACATGGCGAGACCTTTCCTGTCTCGCCCTCTGCTCCCCTCAGCGGTGTATTTCGGTCAGCCTGCCTGTTCTGTTCCCCGCTCTGTCCCTGGTGAATCCTCTCATTCCCCCACACCTCTGGCCTATACCCCCAGTTCTTAGATGCATAAATAAATCAATCTTTTAAAAAAGCAAACCAAAAAACCAAGTCTAGGAAAAATACAAATCCAGAAAAACTAAATAAAAACCTGAAGAAGACTAAAGCAACAGTCCTAACTATGCTTATTGAAGTAAGAAAGAAAAAGAATTGATGAAGGAGTGAAGGGTGAGCAAACAATAACAAGGATAGGGAAAATATGACAAAGCTTCAAATAATGACCTTTAAGAAATCTAACTGAATTTTATAATACAATAAAGGGACTCAACAGTAGACAAGAAGCAGCAGCTGACAATGAGCTTAAACACATGGTAGTAGAGAACACAAACTGACCAACAAAAAGGAAAAAATTAAAAAGAACAACCTTATAAGATAATATCAAGGAAAACACTCCTCAGTTGTTTGCACCGAGCCCATCTTAGCTGTGGGAGTTCTACCACTACTGGCAGGAGGTCATGCAGAGCAAGGAGCCCAATCCCAGGCACCTCACCATTGCAGAATGCAAGGCCCAGCTGCACAAGCAGAGCCAATGAGTCCTGATCATCACCCAGAATATTGATAAGCTGCACCACAATGCTGACACCAAGAACCTTCTGGGAATCCATGGTAGTTTATTTAAAACTTGATGTAACTGTGGCTGAGAATTTCAAGAGCCCATTTTGTCCAGAAGCTCAAATTACCAGAATTCCAGTAAGAGCTTTTTAGTTGTGAAGAGGCCGTCTGCAGGGGCAGGCAGCAACCTCATAATGTGGTTTGGAGAAAACCTGGATCCTTCTCTTTGGAGGCAGCTGACAGGGAACTGGCCCTTTGTCACCTGTGGCTAGTGGTGGGGACTTCTGTGCCTTATCCTGCTGCCATGTTTTCCCCCTAGGTGTCTGGCAGAGGAGTGTCAGTGGCCAAATCACCCCAGCCAGAAGAGATTCGGATTTCAATTCTTCGGCCTTGTGGTACAACACTTTGTGAAACCCTTGTGTCTCATGAAACTGAACCAGTTTCTTAGTTTTCCCAGAAAAGGAAGAAATTATAGTAGATCTAAGTACTAGTTCAAAAACAGAAGAAAAACAATCTTGTGGATGGTGAACTGAATATTGAAAGATAATAAAAAGTTCCAATTCTCTGGCTGGAATTCTAATCTGTTGATAGTTTGTAAAGGATTAGAAGTAACATAGTAAAGAAGATTGTAAGGAAAAGTCAGAACTATAATGTTAACGCATGCTCTTTGGTTTGAACTTAAGATACATACCTCTGATGATACATACCTAGTTACTAAGGTAACTAGGGTGTCTAAAAATGTAATTATTCTAATTGTATTTTTGCACAAGTTCAGGTAGAAAATAGTCATTCTTTTTTTTTTTTTTAAACATTTATTTATTTATACAAGAACCTGGGTACAGGCCAGATGCGCGGGAGGGTGAGAGGATTCACCAGAGCCAGAGCGGGGAGCAGAACAGGCAGACAGACGAAATACACTGCTCAGGGGAGCAGCGGGCACGACAGGAGAGGTCTGCCGCGCCATGTGGGACCCTCGCCTGCCGGCTGGGATCGAACCTGCGCTGCAGAGGCGGCAGACA